GTAACCCCACCCACGCTATCGGTATACACCGGCGGGGCACCAGTGAGGGATGATAGGTGAGGATGAAGTAGGTCAGTTAGCCCATCGTGACGAATTCAACAAGAATTGTTCACGATGGTTTCCAGGGGGAACCACGTGGAGGTCAACCTAATAAGGCATATTTCGAGCAATGGGGCTGTCAAACTCCATTACTAACAATCCCTTTTCCCCCTAGCGTAACGGTTGACTATTAGAGAATGCCGTCACGCATTAAGTTCGCCCTGTAGACATTTTCTAATGTGTGCAAAAGTATAAATAAATGATGGGAACCATCACACCCATTGCTAGTAGTACCAACTCGTGGTTACCCTTGGAAACTGTCTTGGTTAATTTTTTTTTTTATACAAATTAGAATGGCAAACAAACTGACGGCCCACCTGATGGAAAATGGTAACCGTAGCCTACAGACATGAGCAGTACCATAGACATAAAAGAGTACACTGTTACGCCCATGATACTTCCCATGCGTTGACATTCCTTTTAAATTGGTTTTATAGAAACCTTATAATATCATTTCAGTAATTTAATTTTTAAATAAAAATAATCGATTTATACACAATTAAAGACGGTTTTATCTGTGGAACATAATCTTAAATACATATGTTATTATTAAAAATAAGATGGCATGTATGCATGTTAATATTAGCTAGACGGTGAATGGGACACAATTGTATCATTAAGAAAGGCTTCAGAGCTGAATTGCCGCTGAATTATGCTTATAGTATAATACGTCATTCCTTACAATTCGTAAGAAATTTTCTAAGTAGTAACAACGTTATTGTATGTTATTTTAGATGAGTATTTTTATAATTCTATATATATATATAAATATATATATATATATATATATATATTAGTAATTGTTTAGCACTACTACTGCCCATTCACTACTTCCTATGCCACTGTGTAAGGTTGCGGTTGCCAACCCATTTGCCAAGCATGGCAAATACTGGTCAAATCTTATTTTACTTTTCTTATTGAGGCTTTCTTATAAGAGTGGACAGTTAACGGGCGAAATGAAAATGATTATATATATATATATATATATATATATATAATAAAAATTGTAATACAAAAATATAGAAACACCTCCTTTTTTGAAGTCGGTTAAGCAGTTTATATTGTTACTAGCTTATACCGGCGACTTCACGTGACGAGTGATAAAAACTAACCTGTCTTTCTTAATTTGATATAGTAAGTGTATTTATACCAAATTTTATAGTGATCGGTCAAACTGGTAAGGCGTGAAGTGATAACAAACTCACTTTCACATTTTAAATTTTTTTTTGTTATAACAAACTAATTTTTTTTTTTTTTTGTTGTTTGGGACAAACGAGCCCTTTTTTAATTTTTTTTTATACTACAAAGGCGACAAACAAGAATACAGCCCGTCTGATTGTAAACGGTCACTGTAGCCTATGGACGCCTGCAACACTAGGGGTGTCACGTGCGCCTTGCGACCTTGAAGAAACCTTAATGTATCTATCCTTTTTGAAAAAGCCCGTACTGTATACTGTTCTAGGGAAACCCTCATTATTGCCACCTATACACATCCGCGATAACAGAGAAATTTGAGTTAACACATCTGCAATTATTTTTCTTAGAAAGAAACATGCTCTTTCCTTGAAGGTTACAATGTCGTATCTATTCGGAAACACTATTGTTAGGAGTACGTTCCATAGAGTTATTGTGTATGGAAGGAAATGTCTATAGAAACGCACCATGTTTGACCACCACACATCCAAATGATCGGGATGGGGGGAAAAGGGATTGTTAGTAATGGACACTGAGAATCCCATTGCTAGCAATATATCCAACCAGGTAGACCTCCTCGCGGTTCCCTCTGGAAACTATCATGATTAATTCCTGATGAATTCATCATGATGGGCTAACAGGCCTGTTTTCATCCTCATCGATCACCCTTCACTGGTGCCACGCCAGCGTATCCCATTAGCGCAGGCGGGGTTTATTGTTAGCAATGGTATTCTCAGTGTCCATTACTAACAATCCCTTTCTCCCCTGTTATTATGGGTTAATTGAGTTTAGGTGGTTTTACTAGTAGTTGCCACGCTTGGCAGGCGGATTGGCAACCGCAGTTACACTTTAGAGATGATCTAAGAGGGACGCTGCTGCCCATCCCTCGCCTTCCCTTAGCCTTCTTCTTACGACACGGAAAGGAAGGGGTGGCCTATTCTATGCCGGGACCACAGGGCAATAAATAATTAACTAATTATTTGATTACAACTACTTTAGTTAATTTTAAACTTTCGCATTTTTTACACATACTTTAAATACACGATTGGGACTTAGGAAAAACCTATGCAGGTAAATAAAGATTAATAAACAATAAAGAAGCAGGTATATAGGTAGTATTCACCTGCAAAGTTTTTTTTTTTTTTTTTATCGCGTTAAATCTCGATTGTGTATTTAATATACAACTATTTTGTTTAATTCCGCTACCAGTAATATGTGTTGACTGTCAACACATGTGAATTGATCACCAACATCATACAAAAAAAAAAAATTACATTGAGAGTAAAGTACTATATGGCTGTGAAACATAGACAATGAGTGAACGCTCTACATAAGCAACATCTCTTTATATTTTATTTTTTCTACTCAGCTTAATAAAATAATCATAAAATAATTAAAACATTAAAAAAGAAATAAGTAAAATTATTTTCCAAAGGATTTTATACTCCTTTTTTCCTATAAGTAACTTTTCCCAATAAGATTTTTTTTTTTTTTATAGAAATTAGTTCAAACGAGTTGCTTAATAAAGAACGTTCATTGTATTAAAATTTTTAATGTTGTTATGTTCTATACAATGTATTTTGTGCTTTGGATAAAAAATAATAAAACACAAAATTCCGCGCCAATTTGCAAGTCTTCCCGCAACCGGCAACAAATTTCACGCTACCTTGAAATTATCTAGACCTGACGACAATACAATATCTTGACCTTGACCTCAGGCTGCAGCTGCAGGCTTTTTAACATTTTTTTTTCCACGTTTTTTTCATTCATATCAGCCATTAACTCTCTATAACTGAACATAGACCTTGGGGGGGGGGGGGATTGTTAGCAATCGAGTTTGACAGCCCCATTGCTAGCAATATGTCTTATTAGGTCGACCTCCACGTGGTTCCCCCTGGAAACCATCGTGAACAATTCTTGTTGAATTTGTCACGATGGGCTAACTGACCTGTTTTATCCTCACCTATCATCCTTCACTGATGCCCCGCCGGTGTATACCGATAGCGCGGGTGGGGTTATCATTCCATTATCATCAATTAAAAAAATATATATACCCTGACATGTCGACCTCCACGTGGTCCCCCTGGAAACCATCTGAATTCTAGATGCATTCACCACGATGGGTTAACTGACCTGTCTTTTCAATTATCAAACTTTTTATCACCCTTCACTGTTGTTCCGCCAGCGTATACCGTTAGCGTAGGCGGGGTTACCATACCATTGCCATCTATTAAAAAAAAAGACCTTCCCCATCAAAGGTGTTTCCCCAGTAGTTACCACGTTTGGCAGGCTGTTTTTTTTTTAAATAAACCAAGTAAATTACATATAAAATTGTACCGCAGTACGCGCGTCATATCTAAATACGACCTGTGCTTCCTATATTTTAGTGAATGCAGATTTTTCTTTATTTAGGCTGAATCTACATCATGTAATTTGGCATACACGTAGTGTTTGTGGTAGAGAAGGTCATATCACAAATCCTGAGAAACTCCTTACTAATATTCATCATCATCATCATCATATCAGCCGTTCACTGTCCACTGTTGAATAGTTGCCACGTTTGGCGGGTTGGCAACTGCAGTTAAGCGTCGGTGATGTTTAAAGTGGGACGCTGCTGTCCATTCACTTACTACAAGCTCCCTCAATCGCCTCTTACGACATCCACGGGAAAGGAAGTGGTGGACCATTCTATGCCGGGACCACAGGGCTAGTTTAATAATTGAGTTTAAATTTCGAATTACGATTACTATGAAACAAGGCTGACAATCTAAAAATTAAAAAAGGTATAATAAATTAACCAATGCAGCAACAAAATTGGCGAGAAAAAAAAAAAGAAACAAAATAAAGACATTTTGATTTGAGGAACATGCTTTATACAACGTGACCGAATACCTAAACGCCAATATTAAATTATGACATATTATTATTTATTTATATATCGTCACAGTGGTAGAATACTGACGGATCTGACAAATATTACATATATAGATCCGTCAGTATTCTACGACTATGAGGATTTCATTGTAAAAAGTGTGACAATTCAAATTTCATAACCTGTAGTCAATATTATTGGCATGTAGTTACCATTATATCGACACGTAATTTTTTTTTTATACAATTTAGAATGGCAAACAAGCTAACGGCCCACCTGATGGAAAGTGGTAACCGTCGTCTATAGACATGAGCAGTACCATGGACATAACAGAGTATACTGTTTCGCCCATGATACCCCCCATGCGTTGCCATTCCTGAGGACTCAGGTGTTATTCCTCTGTACCCAGTAAATTCACGCCATATCCCACCCTTCAAACCGAAACACAGCCATGTAAACACAACTGCTTCACGGTAGAAACACGAATGGGACAGAGGTACCCAAGCAATCGACTTTTGTACAAAGTCTCCCTCTGGTAATTAATTTATAATGTTATTTTTATTTTATATTTCAAATGTTATTATAATTGTTATTATTAATTTTATTAATTTAAAAATTACAATGTAAATATTGACTTGTCATTGTGTAGTGAAAACTGTTACATTGGTTAATAAAGGAATATAATAATAATAAGAAATTTAATATAGGTACACGTACTATTATGGGATAAAAAGGCCATAGGCTATTTTTTTCCTCTTGCTCAATATATACCGGTCACGTGGACGAAGTCGCGGGCAAAAGATAGTTATAAATAAATGTATAAAAATCCTACCTTTTACGAAGCCTCCGGTGACGCGTTATGTGTCAAGACGTGCCGGCGCAGTTCGATGCGGGACGTGAATCTAGACATAAAAAAAAATACTTCGATAGAATCGATAAAAAAAATTACACTTGTCCATCGAAGGCTTGTATCGGCAAGTCACAGATTACTATCTGCTCTTCTATTGCAGTTGTCTTATTTAATTGTTTTATATAGTATTATTTTATATATTTATTTATTTATGTACGTAAATATTTATTTATTTAATACTAGCTGACCCTGCAAACGTTGTTTTGCCTTATATATTATTTCTAGAAAACAGAATTTCTTGTACTGCAATTATTATATTCTTTTGCCATCTTGCAATTCTATTGTAGAAAATATAAATCGCAATTAAAAAACAGGGGTTGATCGTAAAAGGTGAAACTTTGAAATTGTATTTTTCAATGCTAAATCATAATAAAATAAAAATAAAAAAATTTGTCATAAAAATAAAAAATAAAATTTTAGGGGTTGGTCACCCTTATCATTGAGGGGTATGAAAAATAGATGTTGGCCGATTCTCAGACCTAACCAAAATGCACATAAAGTTTCATGAAAATCGGTAAAGCCATTTCGGAGGAGTTTGGTAACAAACACCGTGACACGAGAATTTTATATATTAGATATTACGTGTATGTTTATAATATATGAATTTATCAGATATTGCTTTATTTTTTTTTTTCTCTATTCAATAATGCACCGCCTACTTATTTCTCTGTTCGCCCAATGGTCGACTGGTAGAGAACACCGTCCGGTGTTAAGTACGCCATATGTACGTAGAATTTTACTGAGCGTTAAAGGGTAAATAAATAAATATTAGAAAGAATCCTTTGAGCTCTTTTATTTATATCCATATATTAACAGGTTTGATAAAGCATACACTTGCCACTATAGTAGGAATTGGTTACAAGATTTGACCTAGGGATGGGATATAACAATATCTTAGTTACAATATCTATTTACTGGTATAATAACGCAAATATTGAATAACAGACTTTTAACATATTCTAAAATAGATATCCGACCGATATGGGCGATATAAGAGCCTTATCTACAGGAAATATCTTAGAGAAGTTATCTTCACCTAATTATGTATTTGTAGTCACTTAATTCTCTTATCTCTGCCATATTGTCTTACTTTTAAGTATTTGGTATTTCTGTCTTTTCAATGTTAAATATATTCTATTTTTGCTGATTTCTATGTTATTTATATGTATTTACTAAATGTAATAAGAAATTGTTTGTTTTCTCAAATAAAATAAAAATATCGAAATGGATGATGACCTTTTTACCATCATCAATGTCCAGAGGAACCCAATATATAGATATCGCATCAATATTCATATATATATCATACCCATGCCTCATCATTATTTCAGCCATTATCCGTCCACTGCTGGACATAAGCCTCCCCCATAGACAGCCATAAAGAACGGTCCCGAGCCACCTGCATCCACTGACTCCCTGCAATGCATTTCAGGTCGTCACTCCATCTAGTGGGGGAGGGTCGTCTTACACTGCGTTTACTCGTACGCGGTCGCTGCTCTAGAACCTTTCTTCCCTATCAGTTGTCGGTTCTTCGAGCTATGTGACCAGTCCATTGCCACTTCAGCTTGCTTATCTATCGGGCTATGTTGGTTATGTTACCCATGCCTAATTTGTACTAAATAAATTAAAATACTCGTAGATTGCAAGTAAAAAAAAAACATATAAAATACGGTATGTGTAACTCACGTATCGTCACATTTGTCACAATTAAGTTCGCCAACTCTGTGCACGAACTTGACGTGGGCGTTCAGTGTACACTTGCGTACAAAACGCTTGTGGCACACGCCGCACTCGTGCGTGCGTGTGTCCGCGTGCGACCGAAGGTGGGTCGACAGGCTGCGGACAAGGGGGACAAATTAATAATTCATCTTATCAGCTGTCATATATGAATAACAAGATTTGAATTTATTTCCTTCAATCATAATCATCTACATATCAGCTGTTAAGTGTCCACTGCTGAACATAGGCCTCTCCCTTTGGGGGTTTTGTTAGTACTTGATGTTTAGAAAAGTTTTAAGAGGGACCAGAGGGACTTTGTACAAAAGTCGATTGCTTGGGTACCTCTGTCCCATTCGTGTTTCAACCGTGAAGCAGTTGTGTTTGCATGGCTGTGTTTCGGTTTGAAGGGTGGGATATGGTGTGAATTTACTGGTTACAGAGGAATAACACCTGAGTCCTCAGGAATGGCAACGCATGGGGGGTATCATGGGCGAAACAGTATACTCTGCTATGTCCATGGTACTGCTCATGTCTATAGGCGACGGTTACCACTTTCCATCAGGTGGGCCGTCAGCTTGTTTGCCATTCTAAGTTGTATAAAAAAAAAAACGCTGCTGTCCATCCCTCGCCCTCCCTTAGTCGCCTCTTACTCAATAGACGTCGTTCGGTCAAAAACTTGGACTTTTTGACAATTAGAAACAGCTTGTATAAGAAAAAGAAAATAAAGAGTAAAAAAAGAACACTTCTTAAACCGACAACAAAAAGAACGCGGTAATTTGGTTGTATTTTCTTTATATTTGTTACCTTATAACTTCGTTACTTGTAAACCGATTTAGAAGACTTTTTTATTTGGAAGGATATATGTACAGATTTGTGCTATTAATTTTTATCAAAAGCGGCTCAGTAATTGTTTTAAAATCAAAATAACTGGTTTTGCCACAATTGAAGTTGGTTTTTTTATGGAACGGCTCAACCGGCTTCATTCCCTCCTCCCTCCTCCACCATTAAGATCGCCCATGTTACCAGTATAGCTAACCTTACTGTTAAATTATAAAAATACTCACTTAGTCCTAGCACTGAGTGACTTCTTACAAACGGGACATTGCACTCTTTCTCCCGCATGGACAGCTGTATGCCTTCTCAGCAGGTACACTGCTGGGAACCCACTGCCACACTGGTCACATATGTAACGGTTTCTATCAGCACAGTGGATTTTGCGTATGTGTGCTTTGAGCAGCGTCATGTTCGAGAACGTTTTATTGCAATTTTGCTGAAATAAATATACTCTTTTAGAAATTTTTAGAAGAAAAAGAACAAATATGCTAATAGTCCAGTTCACCTAATAAAAATGGGTAACCATTTTTTTAGTAACCATTTGTTAACTGGTGGGGCACCAGTAAAAGATGATAATTGTGGATGAAAGCAGGTCATTTAACCCATCATGATGAATTTTACAAGAAATAATCACAATGGTTTCTAGGGAAAACCGCATGGAGGTTGACTTGACAGTAAGATCCCTGGCCTGTAAGATCCCATTACTAACAATCCCTTTTCCCCCCAGTAAACACTGTTTATAGATATGGATAGTACCAAGGCCATCAGAGAATGCATTATGATGTCCATGGTAACCCTCAAGCATTGCGATTCCTGTGGACTAAGATGTCAGACTTTCACATTTTTGTATGCAACTTAGAATGGCAAACAAGCTGACGGCCCACCTGATGGAAAATGATAACTCGTCACTTATAGACGAGAACAGCACCATGTATTGTATCATGTAATTTCATTACCATACTGGTATTTACAAAATGGAACAGTACCTAAATCATATATATATATAAATAAATATATATAAACATAAAATAACTTATTATACATATAAGTAACTAAACTGTAAATTGTTTTGTAAAATTTAGTACATGTATAGGTTATATCCTAAATAACACTATACTTCATATTATTCACATGGGTAAACCAAAGAAGGATGGTTAGTTTTTCTAATTCCATATTTGGATCATTTAAAAAATATTTTTTACTTGTTTTATTCTTCGGAAGGCACTTAAAGTTACTGTATAGTGAGCCATATAAGCGGTCTTCATAGGAAAAATCTTCACATAAGTAGTACTCTAATATCTTTATAATATTGTAAATGTAAATTGAATTCTTTTACTGCACTAAGTCTCTCAATTGGGCTATTGTGTGTATGAATCATGGCTAGTACAACCAGGCCAGCTATGCCTAGAAGCACAAAAGCTTCCTGGGATCTTCACAGACCTCACAGAGCGACCTCACTGTTCCGAGTATTCCTATTATTATTATAAATGTGAGTGTGTAAAGATAGATAAATGTTTGTTACTGTTTCATGCAAAAACTACTAAATAAATTTGAATGGAATTTGGTACACACATAGGTTATCTATCTTATTATATATTAGCACATGATATTTTACGTACTGATTCATGCAAGTGAAGCCGTGGAATACAAATAGATTAATTTACCTGTGGACATGTGGGATTTGATAAATCTTCAATATACATGTGATATTTATTTCTTTTACCAGGTGTTTTCTGTACTATCACATTATCTATGAATGTCGTCATTTGGCCATCTGTATTCTCTTCTGAAACAAAACAAGAAATTATGAGTAAATATAGTGTAATATAAAAATGTTAAAGGATTTTTTAAACCACAAAGGCGGCAAACAAAGATGTAGCCCATCTGATGGTAAATGGTCACTGTAGTCTATGAATGTCTGCTACACTAGGGGTGTCATGTGCATTTTGCCTACTTTAATTTAGTAGAGGGAGGATTTGTATAATAGTTTACTAGGATCACTATCACAATTGTGGTTCTACCATCATACAGCTATACACATGTGACTGTGTTTCAGTTTGATAGGTATGATATGGTAGTAAAATTACAAAGTAATTTTTTAAAGCTTTTTTATTTTTTACACTTATTAAAATGTAAAATTACTCCTTACCTTTTATTTGCTTGCTGTAATTTAATGGTTCAGCAAATATGATACTGTTGTTTAATCTATAACAGTTATTCCCCTGTATTCCAATACCATTCAGTGGCTAGAACAAAGAAAAAGTTTAACTTCAATAATTTTCAAAAAAGGAGAAATTCTGAATGCTGTTATTTTTTTATATGTATAATATATAGTTATTGTCAATCAATTTTGGTTTTTATTCATCAGTGTGAAGCCTTATATCCCTAGCAGTTCAAGCCAAGTCATTAGAATCAATAAATTTACTAGGATCACACCAATATGGTTTTCGGAGGGTTGATCTAACAGTGTATATTGGGGCGAAAGGATTGTTAGTAATGTGGCCTACCACTCCCATTGCTAGCAATATATACGATCAGGTCGTCCTCCACGTGGTCCCTCCTGGAAACCATTGTGCTAAGTTCCAGGTATATTTATCACGATGGACTAACTGACCTTTTCATTCTCACATATCATCTAGTTAGTTATAGGAATTAGCGACCCTATTACTTCACCTCACAATATGTTATAGTAATCGAATTTTTACTTACATCTTGTGCCGGTATACTGTTTTCAGACTGTACAGGTTCTTCCACTGAAGTAAGGAATAAAATATGTCTCTCCATCATAGATCAGAGAGTTTACTTCATGCTATGTAGATAGTTAAGTAAATAAATAAAAAAAAAGGTACACATACATTTACTAAATTAATAATTAAAGAAATAATAACTCGATAAGTAGCACTCGAAAAAATTGTGATTAAACCCAACTGTCAAAGTTAAATTCATAATACATATGACATAATCAAATACGACAAACGTCACTGGCGCTGTTCAACGCCATAGATTAAAAATAGTACCAGTGACTTGAAAATGGCATTCGTTTTTAAACGACTTCGTAGTTGTATGAAAACCACTGTGTTTTTTTTCTTTATTCGACTTAGAATGGCAAACAAGTTGACGACCCACCTGATGGAAAGTGGTAACCGTGGCCTATAGACATGAGCAGTACCATGGACATAATAGAGTATATTGTTTCGCCTATGATGCACCCCATGCGTTGCCATTCCTGAGGACTCAAGTGTTATTCCTCTGTACCCAGTAAATTCATGCCATATCCTACCCTTTAAACCGAAGTACAGCTCAGTGGTTCTTATATATCTCATATAGTTCAGTGTGATTACTTATGACAGAATTGTAAAAAGTATAAAGTAAAAAACTTTAAAAAAAGACATCTTTATTAAAAATTTAAATTAGGTAATGTGAATTTTCTTGAAATTCTTTAAATCTGCCACTTTTGTAAATCATCAGCATAATTTGCCACACAAAATTTAGGAGCAAAGTTTGGTAAAACGGCGGCAATTTGCCACAAATGGTCACACTGCTGTGGTTATGGTATGAATATTGTGGAAACTTACGAGTGGCAACACTGTTTTTGTATTCTAAAAACGTGTTTTATTGTATGTACTGCATTTTATGATTCAATTTCATATATAAAAAAAGATTGTCTTTGTAGTTTAATAAATATCATTAATTGTTTAAAAAAAGGGGCCGTTAATTGGTCTTCTGTAAACGACAATTAGAGCGTAAATTGCCTTATATATTTTTTTAATAATTCAACATGGTTGTGGTGTCGTCGACTTTTTCACAACCTGTCGAAGGAATCCTTCTTCAGACCCCTTCGACAAAACTCTTTGTGAATGATCAGGAACTCGGCACAGCCACCTTATACATCACTGAAAGGTGAGGAAACTAAATTTTAGAATTTACAACACGAGTTGAAAAATTTATAAACACTTTTTTTTTCTAGATCAAATAATATCGAATTCTTCTTAATAATGATACTACTGCGATCCTTTCTCAAGCATTATTTAAACCTATATTTAAAATAAAAACAATTTTTATTTTTTTAAAGTATTAATGTTATGGAACAGCTAGAACAAAATTTATAATGATTTGACTTAAATGTTTATAAATAAATTTTATTTGGTTCACACTGACCCTTAGAATAATCATTTTGCTGTAATATCAAATAGATACATTCATTTAAGAGATGAGGACGACACCTCAAGTTTGACCCCATTTTCATGTTTGTGAATCTGTCATGTAAGTAAACAAAATAAATTGCTTAGTTGTTGTTTTAATTTGTTTATGTGGGGTGTGTAGTGACCTCTGTGATTGAAGATTTTTTGGTTAGTGGAAACACTTAGGATTTATTTATACAAATAATTTTGAATTTATAGTAATACATATTAAATGTTTCTTTCTGTATTTACTGACTGTTTCTCGCGGCGGTGCCCATGTGAAATGTGAAGTGTATAAAATATCCTATGAGTTAAAATATGGTATATAACCTACCTTCATAAAGCTTATATTTTATAACTTTTTGTATGTGATTCTTTATATTGATATAACTTTTTATTTATGAACCAATTGAAATAAAACAAACATTAAATGTTAAGAGGAGCAAACAGCACGAATTAGTGAAAACTACATTAAAATTAGCCAAGCCATTTCTGAGATTACTGTGCACAAACATACAGCCAACAAAAATTCTAAAAAATATTGTTTTGGATTCTATTTTGTTCAGAAAGTCGCCCTATAATAGTTTTTCTTATATATCTTCTATAAACAGACAGACAATAATTATAATTTTTATTATGTGTATTGATATGAGGATCTATAAATATGGCCCTTAAAAAATATCTCCTATCTGACACGATTATAAAATAGTTAAATTTTTCCCTTTTTAACATACCTCTTTCTGTATTATGTAGACAAATAATTCAATATATTTTTAATTTCAATGTATTTTGAAATAAGTTCAGAATGAGTATGTTTTCTGTATCTTCTGTAACATTCTATTCATAATGTAAATAGTCAGGAACAGGTTGTTGAAATATCAAGAATAACTTGATCAAATATTAATCTAAATGACGAGTGGGTAAAATACAACATGTCGTAAATAAAGATGCCCCTGAAGATGGCCAATGTAATTTTTTTAAATGGAAGACATTGGTGGTAATCTCACCTATGCTAACGGGATACGCTGGCGGAGCACACCAGTGAATGATGATAGGTGAGATGAAAAGGCAGGTCAGTTAGCCCATTGTGATGAATACACCAGGAATTCAGCACAATGGTTTCTAGGTGGGACCATGTGGATGTCAACCTGACAGGGTATATTGCTAGCAATGGGACTGGTACACATTACTAACAGTCCCTTCCCCCCTGGCCAATGGTTTTTTTAATTCAAAATTATATTTTATTTAATAAAATAATACTTAATTATTTATTTTTTCGAGGAATTATTAATTTTTTAGTACACTTGAGTAACTATGCCAGCCTCATAGGGAATGTCTGAAAGTTAGTGCCAGTTTGTTAGGGGCTCCTTTACCCACCGATGTAACCGTTTTGCATTGTGACTGCCAGGTTGATTTAGTATTAGATTGATATTACTGTTATATATTGGCAAATCGCCCAGAATCCGCTGTTTCAGGTTACAATTCCGGCCATATTCCACTAGCAAATGTAGAAGGTTTTCCACTTTATCACCAGAGGGAGACTTTTACAAAAGTCGTTTGCTTGAGTACCTCTGTGCAGTTGTGTTTGCATGGCTGTGTTTCGGTTTGAATAGTGGGATATGGCGTGAATTTACAGGGTACAGAGGAATAACACTTGAGTCCTCAGGAATGGCAACACATGGAGGGTATCATGGGCGAAACAGTACACTCTGTTATGTCCATGGTACTGCTTATGTCTATAGGCGACAGTTACCACTTTCCATCAGGTGGGCCGTCAGCTTGTTGAAAAGAAAAAAAATACTATTGTCTGTTTGTCTGTTAGCAAAGGTTTCCTCTTAATTTTTTTATTATTTTTAAACTGTCAAATATTTCCAGTAATGTGGTGTGGGGAGGCGGCGTGAGGCCGTCCGGTGTGGCCGCTCCCGCGATCTCGCTTCTGTACCCCAGCATCTCGCTCCACGCAGTCCAGAGGGATCCGTCCCCTGCTTTGTACATGGTACTCAATTATGAACTCAGGTACACATTGATGATTTAAACTAATAATTATAAAAAAAAATAGACAAGAATGATTCTTACATGTTTATTTTAGTGAATGTGACTGTACAATAAAAAACTATGCATATAACGTAAAAGTGAATATATTTAGATGAAAAAAAAATAAATATGTCAAAAAAGTATTTCAAATAGTATCCATGGCAACGCATGGCGGGTATCATGTGCGAAACAGTATACTCTGTTATGTCCATGGTACTGCTCATGTCTATAGGCGATGGTTACCACTTTCCATCAGGTGGGCCGTCAGCTTGTTTGCCATTCTAAGTTGCATAAAATATATATATAAATATATATAAATATATATATATAAAATTACAAATACTTTTGTTTAAAAATTAAATAGTGTTACATAAAAAAAACAAAACCGTCTTCAATTATGGAAAAACCAGTTTTTATTATTATTATAGCTTTTTATCCACTTCCGTGGTCCCCAAGGGTAAAAGCCTCCTCCATCTTTTTCCACTTCTCCTTATCTATAGCAATACCCGTCCAGTTCTTTCCTGCTATCTTTATTATGTCATCTGCCCATCTCTTTCTTTGTCTTCCAACATTTCTTTTTCCTGCTGGACCTCGCCATTTTGTTGTTTGGAGAGTCCACCTTTTATCTTTGTACCTCACTATATGACCTGCCCATCTCCACTTCTGTTTCATACTATGCTGAAGAGCATCTTTTATTTTGGTTTTCTTCCTAATATCAGTGTTTCTTATTTTCTGTATTTTTCTTAACTTTAAGATACTTCTTTCTATCGCATGCTGACATGATAGGATTTTGTTCTTTATTTTTTCTGTATAGGTCCATGTTTGGCATGCATATGTTAGGCTTGGCAGGATGCAGGAATCCATAATTATCTTTTTTAAGTTGAGACTGTAGTTCCCTTTAAGGATTTCTTTTTGAGCCCAATATTTCTTCCATGTTATGTTTATTCTTCTATCGACTTCATTTTCTCCACTGTTCGTTTCGAAAGAGACCATTTTACCTAGGTACACATAACTATCCACATAATCTATAGGGTTCTCTTCTATTGTGATAAATTTTTTGCTGTGGTTTGTCATGATCTTTGTTTTGGTTGCATTCATATTTAGGCCAATTTTCTTACTTTCCAAATCTAGTTCTTGTAGCATTTTTTCTAGGTTGCTAACCGATTCGCTAAAAAGTACTATACTATTTAAAAACCAGTTATTTTAATTTAAAAACTAAAATACTGTACCAATTTTGATAACAAATATTTAAGGGACCAATCTGTAAGTATACCCTTTCAAATAAAAAAAATTTTCGAAATCGGTTTTTTTTATGGGTGAAAATGGTATGGTAACCCCAACTAGCCTGCGCTAACGGGATACGCTGGCGGAGCACCAGTGAAGGGTGATAGATGAGAATGAAAACAGGCCAGTTAGCCCATCACGATGAATTCATCAGGAATTAACCATGATAGTTTCCAGGGGGAACCGCGAGGGGGTCGACCTGGTTGGGTATATTGCTAGCAATGGGATTCTCAGTCTCCATTACTAACAATCCCTTTCCCCCCTTCCAAATCGGTTTCCAACTGACAGAGTGATGAGTTAACAATCATAAAAAAAATACAACTGCATTGAGAACCTTGAAGTTATTTGAAAAAGCTCAGCTCAGTTACAACTTTTTCTTGAATCAAGTAATTATGAAATGGTTGCAGAATACCCGAGCTAGCGCAGCCGGCGACTGGCGGCGGGGACACCAACGAGGATGATGATGATGAATTCGATGCTGACGATCAGCCCATCACGCAGTTACGGTAATCACCCACTGTTCAGACCCCATAGATTAACTATACTTTTTAATTGTAATACTTCAGTTTGGATTCTTTAATACTTTAGGATTGCATTTCAGAAAAAAAAATAAAACAACTCCATTTCATGGCAAAATTTGTTCAAAATATGTTTTAAAAACTAATGTTAAACTGCTGAATTGATTCCATAAAATTTGTATGGGATTAATCTGTATGTACATCTTTTCAAATAAAAAAAAAACATCCAAATTGGTTTATTGGAGTTATCAAGTAGCAAACGTAAAAAAAATTATTTTGCAGTTGCTTAAAAATGATTATAACGACAAAACGAAGCTTTGGTGGGTACGTGAGGCTGTTGACATGGCACAGTGCCTTTGAGTGTATTTTAGGCACCGTAAATATTGTCGACAATAGAGGGCGACACCGTCACACGAGTAGTAGCACTAATGTTAAATTTATATGTCTATACCAGGAGTTCCCAAACTTGTTTTGTCTACTGCCCACTTTGAGAATTAATTATTTTTTAGCGCCCCCATTTTTTTACCTACTTAAAAACCAAGATTAACAAATCACGCCCCAAGCCTCTACACAACGCCCCTATTTTTTTTTTCTGGATCTCTTACTGCCCCCCTATAGGTTTGCAGCGCCCACAAGGGGGCGTTGTCGCCCACTTTGGGAAAGGCTGGTCTATACTTATTGCGTACAGAGATTACATCTCACAAAGCAGTTTTGCAATACTATGTTATTGTCGTAGCAGTCATTAACTGTCCACTGCTGGACATAGGCTCCTCCGTAATGAGAGTTTTACCAGTGGTTGCCACGCTTAGTAAGCGGGTTGGCAATCCCTAAATGTAATATGTAAAAATTTAAACCTATTACAAATGTATTTTTGTTGTTACAGTATTTTATCACTTTCTTTCAACTTGAGAATCTAGCATAAAAGAAAGAGACAAAACACTTCAAAAGCTAAAATAAGTTTTCAAAACGACAAGACCTTTTTTTATGAATAAAGGGGTAAATCTAAAAATGATTGTTCTCTCTAGTTTTGTACCACAAAGTGAGGGCGACCTTCAAGCGATGTACTCTGCGATGAGTCAAGGGCAGGCCCTCCACCCGGACCCCACAGACGAGGTGGACGAGGACGACCCCTACATGGACGGCGAGGAGTTCGACGAGTGTATGTATTGATATTGGCATAAATAAAAGAACCACTTGACAGCTGCTTAGTTCAAAGGAGTCTCAAATTTCTTTTCTCTTTTGACTTTCTTTGTTCTATCCTCAGGGTCAGGGTGTCCTGTGTTATTTATTGATTATTGAAATAAATTTTCATTCATTCATTTATTGTTATGAAGAACCAGAGTTCCTACTAGATTTCGGCATAACAGAGTATATTGTTTCACCCACGATACCCCCCATGCGTTGCCATTCCTGACGACTCAGGTGTTATTCCTCTGTACCCTGTAAATTCACGCCATATCCCACCCTTCAAACCGAAACACTGCCATTTAAACACAACTGCTTTACGGTAGAAACACGAATGGAACAGAGGTGCTCAAGCAAATGACTATACGAGGTTTGTCCGGAAAGTACGTATAAAAGTTTTTTAAAAATTTTATTTTACAATTATTCAGGTAAATCAATTTTATCCCCTTCAAAGTACTCCCCCTGTGACATAATGCACTTGTGCCAACGCCGTTTCCACTGTGAGAAGGCTCCTTGAAAGTCCTCTGGTTGTAGGTTTCTCAGCTGCCCCGTCGTAGCTTTTTTTATCTCATTTATGTCCCCCAAATGCCGCCCCCGAAGTACCAATTTGGTTTTTGGGAACAAGAAGAAGTCACACGGGGCCAAATCCGGCGAATAGGGGGTGTTCGGTCACCGTAATGGAATTTTTACTCAAAAACTCACGGAACGATCTTGGCGCAAATTTTTTTCATTTGAAGTTCGTTTCTTAGAATTTCGTGGACCACGGTTTTGCCCAAATTAAGCTCTTCAGCCACCTGTCTGACCGTTAAACGACGGTCCCCATTAACACAAGTTCGAATTCTTTCCACGTTTTCGTCGGAATGTGAAGTGGAAGGACGTCCTGAACGTGGGTCATCTTGAACGCTTTCTCGGCCCTCTCTGAATCTTTTTAGCCACTTGTGGACGGTTGGTTCCTTCACAGCATCATCCCCATAAACTGTTCTGAGATCGGCAAAAATTTCACGGCCATTCTTGCCGAGTTTCGAGAGAAACTTGATTACGACGCGCTGCTCTTCAACGGAAGCGGGCTCCATGCCGACGGGGTTTCGTTAAGAGGTAACTTCACAGATGGCGTGACAAGCCAGTTCGCACCGCACGGCGGTCAGACCAGAACTGAAGCATTGTTAGGGACATAAGGAAGGGGTCCTGCGCTTACCTGGCCTCCCCACTCCTCTTTCTCGCATTCCAGAACACTTTTATACGAACTTTCCGGACAGACCTCGTATGTTAAATATATTTGTAACCGAATCATGGAAAAACAGTTAATTACGAAATTGAAGATGGATCCTTACTAAGTCTTGGGCGTAGGCTCTGAAATGTATCGTGTGTGCAGGCGAGGAACAATTCGAAGACGCGATGGACAGCAGCGGAGCACCCGCCGGCAGCGAGGAGGAGGCGGCCGCGCGACTCCGACACCTACACCTCGACAGGACCAATGGCACTCATCCAGCGGATGGTAACCACCATACTTCATTATCATATCAGCTTTTAACTGTCCACTGCTGAGCTTAAGCCTCCCCCTTGGGGGTTTTGCCAGTAGTGGCTACGCTTGGCAAGTAGATTGGTAACCATAGTCAGGCTTTAGATATGTTTTAAGAGGGACGCTGCTGCCTATCCCTCGCCCTCTCTTAGTCGCCTCTTACACACTCACGGGAAAGGAAGGGGTGGCCTATTCTATGCTACTGGGACTATGGGACTACACGACCAGCATACATATAGATGTAATATTATGTACTAGCAACTCCCCCCTCGACTCGCAACGGGTACAGTACGGGTAATAATACATTATAATATAGCTGAAGTGTTTGTTTGTTTGAACATGCTAATCTCTAGCTACCTACGAGTATTTCTTGAAGGAGATTCTAGGTAAGCAATATTACGATGCGACCACGGACAAAGTCACGGGATACAGTTAATTTTTGCCACATTTCAAATTATTGAAGAAAAAATATGTAATTCTATATTATAAATAAAAAATTTTAAAGATAAAGATCATTGTGAATTACAATAAAATAAAATTTCAAAATTTTCAAACAGTTTTTCGAAAACTATCAGGTACAAATTTTATGACAAAATATTAGGGTAAATAAAACAGGTGTGAAGGTTCTTAGGGGAGGGAATGATTTGTTTGGTCATTTTTTCCATTAAACTCATCATAACTTTTTTCAAACATTTTTAACTGTTCTCATGTTTATGTTGTCATCTTCGAAATGTGTCTCAATTATTAATTTTCTTTTCAGAAGAGGAGGATGCCGATATAAGTGACCAGTAGTGATGTGTCGCCTACTTCACGTCGCTTCGTAAGTGTACACGACTGTCTAAGGCTATGGACGGGTGTTGCCACATCACATCAGTACAACAAAATAAACACATTAGGTGTTGTATGCTACAAAAAAGAAATATCCTCAAAATTATTGTCTCAGACAAATTTGTGGCCAGTTTGTTGAAGAGGATTCGTAACTACCATGTTTATTCAACTAAGATTTTTACTAAAAATACTTTGTTTTTTTTTAACTGTAAAAAACTACCATGTGGTAACTTATTAAAAAAAAAGTGTAGAATAATAAGGTATCTAAAAATTGTAGTTTTGAATATTTTACATTTTAAAATTAAAGGAAGCAACTGTATTTTTTAAAAATTTCAAAACGTTAGATGGGGCGCATTAGGCCCGTCCTAAGTTTGCTAAGATTAATTATAATTCATTTAGTAGTTTCTACATCTATTCTTAAGTTTTCGAGTTTAGTAATAAATGTTTATGTTAGCAATCTCAATGTAATATCGACTTAATTATCAACATGTAGAGTGAATTTTTGCGGAACCCGAGGGAATTTTATTTTTAGAATAGACTTTTGGTAATTAAGTCGAGATTCAGCTTTTTTTTTTTAATAAAAATATGTTTCTCTTAGCGGATGTCTGACAATTTCTGTACAAGTGTCTTCAATGTTAATGGAACTAAGCAGATTTTTTATAAAATTTTTGATAACAGACATTCCCATACTCGAATTTTCGAAAAGTATTACCGTTAGAAATGATTATTTGATTATAAACTATATGGTATTTGTATTGTATTGTAAAGGATGTAACAATCAGATATCTAGCGTTAATATTTCTATGCTCTACCATAGATAAAGTGGAAATGTTTCACCAAAGGGAGACTTTGTACAAAAGTCGTTTGCTTGTGTTAACCCATTCGTGTTTTTACCGTGAAACAGTTGTGTTTGAAGGGTGGGATGTGGCAGTGAATTTACAGGGTACAGTGGAATAACACTTGAGTCCTCAGGAATAGCAACGCATGTGGGGTATAAAAGGGCGAAACAGTATTCTCTGTTATGTCCATGGTACTGTTCATGTCTATAGGCGACAGTTACCACTTTCCATCAGGTGGGCCGTCAGTTTGTTTGCCATTCTAAGTAGCATAATAAAATTGTGTTTGAATGCGTTAAATAAAATACTAGAGAATTAAAATCTCTCAAGTATGTAACGACCCCTAAGTATGTTAATCCTGAAAATGCGACAACTTTCTCAAGAGACCTTTAAGAGAAAAGTGTTCTTTTCGAACTATTCAACAGTATTACCGCTGGATTTCTGATCGTTTTACAACTTCGTTACATATTTGATTCGTAGTTTGACTATCGCACAGTGATCTTCTGACAATTGTAGATTTACAAACAAAAATTGGGTACTAACGTCCCATTTTTGAGTAAGAATATAATTCCTAATTATATTAGCGTATATTTTTTTTAATGGAGCAAAATGGACTGGCAACTCCGCCTGCGCTATTGGGACGCCAGGGCGGGAACTAGCTGCCCGACTGCTAGTAATATACACTGACTGGAATGGACCCCCACGCGGTTCCCCCTGGAAACCGTCATGGTTTTTGGTGAATTCGTCACGAGGTTATCAGACCGGCTATCATACTTCACTGGTGCCCCGCCAGCGTATACCAATATCGCAGGCGGTGTTACCATTCCATTATAAAAAAAAAAAAATAGGACATATTGCTAGCAATGGGGCTGTTAGGTCCTTTTCTGTCCTATATTAGCGTATTATTGTCACTCTGGACATGTTTTATTAAGTTTAAGAACAATGCTGATTTTCAAGTACATCACTTTGATATGACAGGTGCTACACATCGTTTCCCTATTCTGTAGAAACTTTAAAACAACATAGAGTCAGATTCGGTGCGAAGTCAACAAAATCAATTTGTAATACCCCTTAGTAATGTGTTACGTTACAGTACAGAGCATGCATGTAATGGTGTCCTCCATACTACTCTGTACTCCACTGTCAATTTATAATCCAATGTTACAGTGTAATATTGTTATTATGCCAGATGGAAAATAAAAGTGGAAATATTTTTTAATTTTTTATTTAGTACTTTTATAGTACTAATCAAGCTAACTTGTTAAAGTAACCTTTATCTAAATTGTAACTCACACAATGATAACCAGTAAGTTCTGTCTAAAGAGAATACGTATCTATGTAGTTTATTTAACCCTTTTAGCGCCATTGATTTTTACTCATATCTACTTAAAAATGCCAAAGAAATCTTTGTCGTGTTGATGTCATTTACCCCTTGTCTCTAAAAAAAACTATCTCCAAAAATTATCCAATTTTAATATTATTGTTTTTACAGCAAGCTTAACAGCGACTGATTTCACGAGCACCATGACGCTCGTGGCACTGTCAGTTGCAATGCGCACGAGCGCGATAACGCTCGTCGGCACTCAAAGGGTTAAAAATATTGACATGACAGTGGATTATATTAGTTTTACACGAACGTTTAAAAATATTTTTAATTAATATTATTGTATAACATTATCTATCAGTGAATATGCAGTACAGAGAAAAATTTGTATATCTTTATGTTAGGCTGTATGAACATTACATTTTTATATGTAAAATAAAAAAAATCTTTCACAAGTGAACTATAGCCAATAGATAACTAAGTTATCTATGTTGTAGGCTTAAAATAGAACTAAATAGAAACGTGTCGCCTTGTTTTTTAAATAATCTAATAGCATGATCGACATATTCGTCTATGGAGAGTGAACAGGGCTATGTTAAAGTTTAATAACTCTATTAAAATGTATGTCTTTGGCCGACAGTATAACGTACTTACGTACTTATCTAAGTTTTATAACACTTCCAGCATAAACGTTGTAGTTTTGCAAGAGATATGTGATATATACAGCGTTTTTTTTAAGCCGGGGCTTTTGCAAGATAGGTAAAGTATAAGTAATGCAAAAGGCCTTCTAAGCTTTTTTCCTTAGCCTTCATTTAGAAAACTAGACGCAGAGTGAGGTGGCTTGCTTTCTGTGGACACGATAAAGGTAATAATTAAAAAACAGATGTTTACACTACTATTTTATTAGGAAAACACAATACATTATAGTTCATCTGTATTTTAACAATCAAGAAATATAAGTGTGAAAGTGACGTACATTTGTACTTACATACGAAACTTTATAAAATAAAATAAAAAAGTCAACAAAATTTTGTCACAATGATATTTTAATTCCCATAGATTATAATTACAAACATGCCGTTCGAAACGTCACCGTTTCGCGCCAAATACTTTATAGAAATCAACTGATTAGGACGAGAGCCTTGTCAGTCCATTTGTCAAGTTTTAGACGCCATATAACCTGATTTAATATTAAAACATCATTGTTTTATTACCACTAATCTTACCTAATTCCGAATTATTATTTTTTTTGTACCTGTCTCAAGACAGACAGCATTTGACACTTCACCTACCTATATTTTATATTATCTAGCAACCTCGTTCTAATTAAAATATTTTGTTACATTAATGTAACTGAAATGTTGAATGTTACTATATTACACATAAGTAAAGTTACGCGCGTAATCTTGATGTTTATAGACGGGTTCTAATGAGGCGTACACACTATAGAAGCTACATTATCAAATATAATTCTTTTATATCATTTACAATTCTACAAATACACATGGAATATATCATATACTGGCAATACTATATTTATAAATCTATATATAAACAATCTCGTGTCACAGTGTTTGTGGTCGCACTCCTCTGAACGGAACTCGACCCATTTTTATGATATTTGACAGGTATGAGAATAGTTCATAAGTGGTATTTCATACTAAAATATTCACTACAAATAATTTATATGGCAGAACAACGTTTGCCGGGTCGGTCGTAGTGATATATATAATTTCGTGGCAATTTCTAACTTTAACGTATGCTTTTACAACTTAAAATCACAATTATGATATTTCCATATTACGTTGTCATGTGTAAAAAGTCCATTAACTTAGATTTAGACCAATGAATGCACGTCCAATCCTCTACTTACACTTTCAATTATTGTTTCTTATTCTTTCATTTCTTATTTGATTTTGCTAACAATTTTGTTTTTTTAGTCTAAATTTATGTTTTAGCTGTTGTGTTCAAAGGACAAGATGGTCTTTTTTTTTAATAACTGGCATTAGCAAGGCACCAGTTAGTTGTATTGAATAGTTAAAGAAACGAAAAATACAATAGGATTAATGCGAATATAATTCCAACATACCATACATCTCTCTGGCCCCCATAGACAAGCGGCAAGCGGATCCATGAGTGGGAATGAAATATCAGATGTCGCTGTCTTTCTATCTTATAAGACTTTAGCGATGACAATTCTGTCGATGGATTCGATTACCGCTTTATTTAGAGAGCCGTTTTACTTATTTTATACAAAAAAAAAAGCTTTACCATCACATCTCCATATGCGTTTAAAAATAGAATTTTCATCGTGCCTCCGATCAAACTGTTTATATAACTACTCCTCTCCATCCAAAGGTTGCCTCTGGAAGAGGTCGCTCTTAGCGATAAGGCCGCCCATTGTTTTCTCAATGTAATTGTTTGTATTTATAATAAGTTTACTATTGTAATCTTATGGAGGAAACAATAAAGAGTATATATCTATTTATTTAATTATTGGCGGCTAAGGGGGAACTTTAATTTATTTATACTTTTGCATACATTAAAATATGTGTACAGGGCGGACTTAATGCCTGATGGCATTCTCTACCAGTCAACTGTTACGATAAATAGAGAGTAAATAGCGGTGTATTTGTCTTACAAAAATAATTATATGAAATACATATTTCACACTGAATTTTTACCAAACATTATGCATAGAGTAAATATATAATATTTAATCATAATACTTGTAGAGCGTTCACACTTAGTTTTATATATGTTTTAATAAATGAACAAATCATGTTTTCTCGAGTAAATACTGCCCATCAATATATACGATGCAAACACAATATGTTTTAGTGGAAATAGATAATTATTATTTTTAAAACTTATGTTATTTTTTTTTATTCGATGTCCTATATACCTATGTAAACAGAAAATTAACTCACTATGTTTTAGTCATTTCCGACAACTATTTCGACTTCATTTGGAGGTCTTCTTCAGGGGTTTTTTATTTATACAACTTAGAATGGCAAACAAGCTGACGGCCCACCTGATGGAAAGTGGTAACCGTCGCCTATAAACATGAGCAGTACCGTGGACATAACAGAGTATACTGTTTCGCCCATGATGCTCACCGTGAAACAAGTTTTGGAAACGACAAAAACATAGTGAGTCCATTAATTACCCCATTACATATGTATATAGTGATTATTATTGACTGACTACAAAATTGGACTTCTATTCCGTTAATTTAATATATTTATGCCACGATTTGACAAACGTTTTATTTTGTACTTTGCAGCTGAACTCGCGTCGTTGTGTACGCCCCTTGCATGTAAACAAACAAAGTTATTCTAAATGAATAAATTACATTTGATAAATGATTTGTATACATTGGACATAACATTCAGTTAATTATGAATGTTTTAATTTCTTTTTTTTTTTTTTAATAAAATAATTGGCTAAGACCATACAAATCCTAGCATGTCAACGTCTAATTTTATTGTCAATTACCAAAAACAGTTTTCAATATTTGTGATTCTTTTTAAAAATACTCTGATAGAAATAAACTATAGATAAATAGACGCTGATAGATATAAATGTAAAAAGGCAATGATGATGATGACGCTGATAGAGAATTAAAACAATTGTAGAACAATTGTGTGCAACAAATGTAATATTAGAAATTTGGCGGAAAGGGATTTAGGGAGTTAGTTATGAAATTTAATAGGCACATTGCTAGCAATATAGCAACTCAGGTCGACTGCGACGCGGTGACCTCTGGAAACCCTTAAGATTAATTTTTGATAAATCCACCACGATGTGCCAACTGACCTGCTTCATCCACACTTCACTTGTGCTTCACCAGCGTATACTAATACCGCAGGTGGAATTACCATTCTATTTTCATCAATAAAGAAAAAAAAATATTAGGAATTTTGCAAACATTTAATAGTGTTTCTAAAAATTTCAAATACTTTTTGCTATTTAAATCCAAATTTTAAAAACAGCTCAGTGACAAGTTGCATGCATGATTAGCATTCTAGTTGGCTATCAGAGTAATTAAAAAAATCATGATACAGAAACGTAGAAAGAGAACATAAAGATCCTGTCCTTAATCTATGTTCAGAAACTTTGACAATTGTTTTTGACAGTTGACAGATAATTCGGACATTACCCTATTTCAGCGATACTTTTTTTTTAATATAGAAACATACATGATGTTATTTTGTCATTATATTTATATTAAACAGGTGAATTGCATTTTTGTTACTGTATATTTTTTTCATTTCGTAATTAATTAAATTTCGTAAATAATGCCAATATTTAATAATTAATTAAAATTTAGCAACAATTAAGTTTCTAAAGCAATGTTTATTAGCAATCAACCATGACATTTAGTATTATAAATATAAAGTAACCGACGGAAATATTGCAATTTTTATATTATTAAAATATATACTCATAGAAATTAATAACTTATGATTCGGTTAAGTACCAATGTTGTTTCATATTTTATAAAATTAATTTACTATTACTGGTAACACTCATTCTGTTAAGCGAATTCAAACACGATTTTTAACTGTAAGATTCATAGACAATTTCCTTTAATATTTTAAAATGAAACAATTTTAATGTTTGTTTATTACTATTTTGAATCAAAATCTATACATAAATCCATAGCTAAACTTTGTATTTATATATTTAGCTTCAAGTTCCAAGTATTTTTCAATTATTTGAAGCATGTATGTTTGAGATTTATTATTTTTGGTAGCAGAGCACTATTTAAAATTATCATTATCATCAATTATATCATTCAGAATTTTATTAAATTATTTATGTTTTGACATGTAACACAGGTGTAACTAATTTTACGGTTAAGCGGTCTAATTATAACTTAGATAAACAGTCAAGATTACGAGCTGTAAGTTACTGTTATACAATTCGAAGTAAAATTCACTACACTCTGACTGCGGTAAATGTCATTATATATATATATATATATATATATATATATATATTTATATGAGACATAGAGAATGAATGTTAACGAGACATTAATTTTACTAGTATTATAAATGTGAAAGCTTTTAGAGATGTTCATTAGATGACAGCTGGACGGATTTTGATGAAAATTGCAACATAGATAGACCATAGAGTTGGAGAACACATAGACTGCTATTATAGAAGTAATCAGTTTTCGTAGAGCAAACAGATTTATGTGAGCGCAAATAAATTAAGAAGTCCTTTCATGGTTTGCATACGAGAATTGAACCTTTTTAAATGATAAAACAATTTTTTTTTAATATCTTATTAAGATATTAATTGTAAGGAGCCTCTAAAATAACACATCTTTTACCGCAGTCAGCTAATATAAAATGTTCGAATATTATTAATTAAATTAATTAATTAATCTTTTTAATGGACATTTACAAGAGGATTCTATTAGAAAATTGAACTTCGAACGCTTAATACAAATTGTATGGTATCATACAATTGAAATACAAAAATATTCTAGGGCTGATCACGCACAAGAAACACCAACAAAGGCGAGACGAAATGTTGCGAATGATATTGTCAAGAGTGAACGATACAATTGGGGCCTGTTTAAATTGCTAATAAATTGATAGCTTATCTAACGAGATAGCTTTTGATCTTTCCAAATATTATAAATGTAAGTTTCTTTGTTACCACCACTTAGCGTTTCAAGCGCTTAAATCTATCATTATTGACTTGTAAACTTGTCGAGTTTCGCAGAATGGCAATATTGGTATGGCAATTTAGATATTTCATATATTGTGATCGCTAAGGGAGCGGAATTGGGAATCCGTCAAGTTCCCTTAGTTGGTAAAATATAATAAATTAATTATGAAATTTGGTATACACGTATTTATATGAGATGGTGATGAAACACAGGTTCCAAAGCCGCGTGTAAAAGCTAGTGCTATAAATGTAAAAGTGATCCTGTTTGTGTTGTCTTGGCGCCTTAACGGTTCGACCAATCGTCACGAAATCTGGTATATATATATATATATATATATATATATATATATATATATATATATATATATATATATATATACAATATTTGGGGTGGAGAAGGCCATAGGGTATTTTATATATCGATCAACTAGCAACCCGCCCCGGCTTCGCGCGGTTGCAATATTTGCTTGTGTAGCTTGTCAACTGTTCAACATATTTCAGTAAATATGGCATTAGTATTCTCTGCACTAATATTCTCTAAGATTTTAATTTTTATAAATAAGAGGCTAAATTTAAGGAGGATAGATTCGATTTTTCTGTTTCTAACGGATAAACTCAAAAAAAGACTTAACTTATTAAAATTTTACAATTCTTTAATTTACAAAAGCTACATTATTTATTTATTTATTTAACTCTTTATTGCACTATAAATAAAAATATACAATGACAAGTGAATAATTCAAGTGAAATACAGTAACATAAATACGAATTATCTGTGATATCACTCTACCTACCTACCTACCTGTGCGAAGCCGGGGCGTTATTGTTAGTTCTAAATTTTTTTTACACCACTGAGGTAACAAACAAGCATACGGCCTATCTAATGGTAAGCGGTTACCGTAGCAGACATGTCGTAAGGCTATTACACGTGCGTTGCCGGCCCTGAAGAAACCTTTTACCTTCCTTTTGAAGAACCCTATGCTGTAATCTCTTGGAAAAGCCTCGACAGGGAGCTCATTCCACAACCTTAGCGTTCGTGAGAGGAAACATCTCTGAAACCGAGTTGTACACGACCAATTCAGGCTCTAACATATGGGGATGAACTCCCTGTCGATGGCGAGCTGTACGATAGTAGAAAGTGGCCGTGGGCATCATATTGAACAATTCCTGTGAGCACAGTTCGTTGTACAAGTGGTAGAAGTGAGACTCGCGCAGAGTGAGGTGAAAACTTTTCTATGACTTAAGGACTTTTTATACTGCTTATAAAGTCCTGACCATAGACAATTCTCAATGAATTCTCTAAAAAAATAGAGACTAATTTAATTAAGAGTTTGAGAACCAAATTTTCAATGCTACCTCTTTTAAAACATATGAATTTATTGAGCAATAAAACAGGCCACAAATCTCGCATATTCGCAGCATACAAATGCAAAAAGCTAACAATGTTAAACTGTTAGAAATTATGCCTTCAACTTTATTTTTAGCATAACCATGCTATAGCAAACATGCGTTGTTGGCAAGCATGTGCATTCGTTGAAGATCGATTCTTTGATGCCAATAGGAATTACTCGGCTTGTAAACGATTTTTAAGACGGCCAGAAACCATGTAACTAGGAAACAGCCTATAAATAGAACACCTGGAGGAACTATTTTCAAAAGACTTCAAAAAGAAGTCACGTATTAAGATTGTTTTTTTTTTTATTTTACGTGATTGACATCTTTCCTAATTGTGAACCGTTTTAATGTTTTTTTTTTTTTAATGAAACTGTTTTTTTTTATCAAGTTAGTGGATGATCCGAAATTATGAAATCATATTAAATTGTTAATTGTTAAGATACCCTATGGTAAACTTTTAACATAACCGAGCATACAAGAGACAATGGCTGAGTGTGTCAATATTGATGAATATTACATATGACTGATTTATATTGATTCTGCAGTATTGTTTTATTTTTATTAGCAAAGAAATAATTATACAGAGGATTGGATATAATTTCTTTTTGAGTGAACTTGGTTTGTAATTTTTTTTTTAATTTAACGTCCACGCATATTTTCATTCACGTCAACACCTTCCGAAGATTTACAAGCAACTATATTTTCTTAAATATAAAAACTATTCACTGTTCTAATATTTTAGTCGCTTACATCTTCAGTTCTTCGCGCGTAAAATATTCGTGGACGCCATTTTGAATGTACGACAAAAACAAAATGGCGGACAGTGGAAAAATGAAAGAGACGATGACGGAAGCTTCTCGATTGTGTAATTTTAAACATATCTTATTAGTGACCAAAATAATAGTCATGTACACCTGTTGTGAACTAATTCTAATAATAATTTATTTTAGAAAATTTCCGATATTACGTAATATTACACCGAAAATGTCTTATTAGGCATCAGTTAAATGAACACCCGATAGAAGATTTGCGTAACAACCCTACTAAGTTAGAACAAATTTACCATCACGCCGTGGTCGTTAGGGGGGTGGCGGCGGCTATTGACTCCACCGTCTTCGCTTCCAACACCTCGGGCGCGCCGTTCACCTCCTTCTCCTCCATCTCCACGTCGTTCAGTTTCTCCAGTTTGTCCTCTTGCGAGTCTTGGGACTTGGTCTCGCTGTCTGTCTCCTGGCTGGAGTCTGTTTCGGTCTTGTCCTCCTTTGTTTCCGGCTCTGGTTCTGCTTCTGGCTGTTTGTTTACTTCTGCTACCGGCTCTGTTGTTTCTGTCTTCTCTGGCTGCTTTTCTTGGGTGTTGTCTGAGGATTGTTTATAAGATGTATTGCATATATTAAGAATAGTATCTGCTTTCTTTATAAATATGACAAGTAATGACAGTAATATGATTTTTTAATGGATGAAAATATAATAGTAACCCCGTCTGCATGGTGGGGGGAAGGGATTGTTAGTAATGGGGAAGTTAGCCCCCATAGTTATCAATATACCTTATCAGGTCGAGGTTTTCGCGGTTCCCCCTAGAAACCATCGTGACTATTGCTAAATTCGTCACTATGGGTTAACTGATCTGCCTTTTCATCCTCACCTGTCACGTGTCAGGGACGATAGGTGAGGATGATGCAGGTCAGTTGGTCCCTCGTGCATATTTTATGATTAGTTTAAAAAGAGATATCGTTAAACTTACCAGTTTCGTCTACATCCATTGGGGTCTCTTTCTTCTCGTCACCATTTAGCTTCTGAAACGGGGAAACGATTATGTCATTACAAAATCACTTAAAAAACTTAAATTAAATTTCGGGAACCAATCCTTATAACCCAAGATGTTATTGGGGATTGCCTTAAATACATTTAATAAATAAACAACCGCTATTAGTATGAATTATACTTTAAGTCTACGGAACCCACACCTTGCTATGCTAGGCTCAAACTACACATGACGTCACAAAATATACCTTAACCGTTAACGACCATTGATAAATAATGTGCTGTATATATATATATATATAATAAAATCGTAACTGTTTGTTGTTCTGTTGTCTGTACATGGAAGATATATAAGAAAAACTATTATAGGGGGACTTTATGGACGCAACAGAACCCAAAACAATGATTTTTACAATTTTTGTCTGTTTATCTGTTTACGTTTGTGCACGCTAATATCAGAAACAGCTTAATCGATTTGAACGCGGTTTTAACTAATACGTTGCGGTTTGCGCCACTTAACATTTAGTGTTTTATTTCAATCGGTTCATAAATAAAAAAAAACAAGTTATATTAATCTAAAGAATCAATCATAAAATGCTATAAAATAACCGATCAGTTGAATTGGATGTAACTTTATGAAGGTATTAGGTACGTAATTATCATTTAAGTATATAATACAATATAAGACTGGCAATATACAATACAATATAACAGCATGGAGGTCTACCTCCATGCGGTACCCGCTGAAAATCCTGATGATTTATTCCTGATGAATTCGTCACGATGGACTAACCGACCTGCTTTCATATTCACCTATCACCCATCCATCTAATCAGCGTAAAACGAGGTGACCATTCCATTGTCATTAATAAAAAAAAAAATTAGTATATTCAACAGCACACCAACTAACAAAAATAAATACATTTGACGTACACAAATCTTCTATTACGAACATAACTATCAAATAAAAAAAAAAAAAAAAAATAAGCATGTTACTTATTTTTTTTTAACATTTAAGTTATTTATGATACATCACTACTCAAATTCGAATTTCAAAATAAAATATTAATATTTCCAAACACTATTCGAGACTAATGTATTGTAAAGTCTAATTCATAGCTGTAAGAAAAGCAACGATGAAACAGCTGGGGTGTTTTGGTCATGGAATGGTAACCCTGCCTGTGCTATCGGTATATGCTGGCGGGGTCACAAGTGAGGGACGACAGGCGAGGATGAAGGCAGGTCAGTTAGCTTATAGTTACAAATGCTACAAAGCTTAATTAAGATGCTATCCAGGGGGAACCGCGTGGAGGTCAATCTGATACGATGTATTGCTAACACCTGTTAGAACTCGATTACTAACGACTTTTGACATTTTACATAGAGGTACAAAAAAAGTATTTTACAATTTCATTACCAAAAATTAAAAAAAAAAAACTGACATTACAAATTCTCAAAATGCTATCGCATCGTCACATTCCGTCAGTTCTGAATCAGACTTTACGTATGCGTTATTATAATATGAAATGTTGAACCTATTTGCGGCGTGATTTTTTGCTTGAATGAGAGCCCGCTGACGCCAGCCGCTTCTTCCTACCCTATACCGTTGTAACATGGTTTAAATTGAAATAACAAAATAATAATAAATAAAAAAAAAATACTAAACACATTGCACGACAATAAAAGGGCAAAAGATGGCGCTATACGTTAAAAGATGGCGCTTTTGACACTGCATTATTAGTCGCTTTATATGTTAACTTGGTTCTTCTTCCGACCTTCGTTGGCTCCAATAAAAATAATAAAAAAAAAAACAAATCGGTACAGCCGTTTTAAAATTTTGCAGTGGTATAACTCGTAGTTGGTAGTCAACGTGTTAAAATATATTATAATAATGATTCAATTACTATTATCAATTGACTTTGTAATGATACATGATTTTCATATTTTAATAAAATACCAGAAGGAGACTTTGTACAAAAGTCGATTGCTTGGGTACCTCTGTCCCATTCGTGTTTCAACCGTGAAGCAGTTGTGTTTGCATGGCTGTGTTTCGATTTGAAGGGTGGGATATGGCGTGAATTTACTGGGTACAGAGGAATAACACCTGAGTCCCCAGGAATGGCAACGCATGGGGGCTATCATGGGCGAAACAGTATACTTTGTTATGTCCATGGTACTGCTCATGTCTATAGGCGACGGTTACCACTTTCGATCAGGTGGGCCGTCAGCTTGTTTGCCATTGTAAGTTGTATAAAATAAAATATATATATATATATATAATGGTAAAAAATTATTGAAACATATATCTGAAAAGTTCTTCTAGAACTTACCTGTGGTTTACTTTCTTCCGCAACTTCTGCAGGCTGTGCACTCGATGTGGAGCTGACCTCATCTTCTTGTTCTTGCTTTTTCTGCCGTTTGGCCGGTCGCGCTTTGGGTTTTTCGGGTTCCGTTTCTGTCTCCTGCTCTACTTCTTCCTCTTCTTCTTTTTGTTCTGCCGTCTCTTTTTCTGGTTCTGGAGTGTCTTCTTTTGGACCTGAAGGGTCTTCCTGTTGAGATTAAGATTGAGGTATTGAATACTGAAGTCAGGGTTTTTATCACTCTAAATTACAAACTATGGCAGTCCACCTGATAACTGTTGCTATTGTTGTTGATAATGAAACGGTAACGCCATTGCTTGGGTACCTCTGTCTCATTTGTGTTTCAACCGTAAAGCAGTTGTATTTGCATGGCTATCTTTTGGTTTGAAGGGTGGGATATGGTGTGAATTTACTGGGTACGAAGGAATAATACCTGAGTGCTCAGGAATGGCAACGCATGGGGGGGTATCATGAGCGAAATAGTATACTCTGTTATGTCCATGGTACTGCTCATGTCTATAGGCGACGGTTACCACTTTCCATCAGGTGGGCCGTCAGGTTGTTTGCCATTCTAAGTTGTATAAAAAAAAAGCCCCTCGAACGTGTTTATGCATCATACGCTGAACCAAACAATAATATGGTACCGCGCGCTAATAGAACAGCGTCTGTTGTATAACTCGAATTTGCAGCGTCGTTTTCATTAAATTCACCCTATCAGGTCGTCTTCCACGTGGTTTTCCGTGGAAACCATCAACTGACCTGCTTTCGAGGTCACCTATCAACCCTCACTGGTGCCCCGCCAGCGTGTACAGATGGCGCGGACGGGGTTGCCATTACATTATCATTCATAAAAAAAAACGCATTTATCCATAACCTCTAATCGAAATTTGGTAATTTCAAAAATCGGTGACGCAGTGGGTGTAGCGAGCTAGCTTAGATCCGATCGCCCCACGGGATAGAGAAACTGTATGTATATAATGTAAGAATAGAGTAAAAACCTGCAACAACACGGTGTGCTGTCCACCGGCGGAGACTAGCAGCCCGTGCGGTAGCACCAGCGTCGGCTCGGCCGCGTCGCTGCAGGCGCCGGTGCCCAGCTGACCCTCGCTGCCCATGCCCCATGCATACACCTCCCCTGCGAAAGAACACAATTGCCATCTCAAGTTAACACTCTTGTGTTTTAGAAGGGAATTGTTAGTAACGGAAACGAATTTGTTAGTAATACAGAGTACCAGACCCATTGCTAGCAATATTCCCTGTCATGTCGCCCTCCACGAGGTTCCTCCTGGAAACTATCGTGTTGAACTCCAGGTGTATTCATCAGGATGGGCTAACTGATCTGATTTCGTCCTCACCTATCATCTTTCCCTGGTGTCCCGCTAGCTTATACCTTTAGCGAAAGGCTACCACTTCATTGTCATCTATTAAAAAAAGGGGGGAAAGGGATTGTTAGTAATGGAGACTGAGAATCCTATTGCTAGCAATATACCCAACCAGGTCGACCTCCTCGCAGTTCCCTCTGGAAACTATCATGGTTAACTCCTGATGAATTCATCATGATAGGCTAACTGGCCTGTTTTCATTCTCATCAATCATCCTTCACTGGTGCCCCGCCAGCGTATCCCGTTAGCGCAGGCGGGGTTATCATTCCATTTTCATCCAATAAAAAAAAATCTATTAAAAAAAAAACGAAGACAAATGGCTAGCAATATACTGTGACTGGTCTACATTCATGCAGTCCCTTTAAAACTATCGTAGTTGATGGCTAAGTAATTACACTACAACCTCACCTATCATAAACGACTGGTTATGTCGACAACGTAGGCGGAGTTCCAGTTCTGTTTTGAACTCATTATAAGAATCAATAAAATATAGCAAGCTGGAGTGACAATGAGTTGATCACATAGCTTGAAGAGCCAACAACCGATGAGGAAAAGGTTCTTGAACAGTGATCTCGTACAGGCAAACACAGTGTAGAACGACCCTCCCACTAGACCAAGTGACAACCTCAAATGCATTGCAGGGAGTCAGTGGATGCAGGTAACTCAAGACCGTTCCTTATGGCAGTCTATGGAGGAGGGTTATGGTGATCCATTGGTTATGGTTATGGTGAACATAGTAGACAGGCAAAGGTCAAAATAATGATATAAAAACATTTTAACTCTTTTAACATTTTAACTTCAAAAAGAGTTAATAAACACAACAATTAAATAAATTGTGACATCTATTTAATTTTGACGTACATAAGAAGAGGTTTTTGGCACTCTGTTCTCTCTGCCTACCCCGTAAAGGACTCGGCGTGAAGATAGATACCTGTATCCGTGACAGCGAAGGAGTTACTCGTGCCGGCCGCTATACTGACGCACTTCTTGTTCTCCAGCTTGGGCACTGGTTCTAGCACCTCCGCGTCGCCCACTCTGTCACCCAGTCCTAATCTGTGGATAAATAATTATATTATGTTGCTGTCAAAACTCTTAACCAGTTAAAATTACTATTGACTAGTAAAATCAATCAAAAACACTTTTGACTAAAATAACAGTTAAATCTAACCTAATCTAATCGCAAATTTGTAGTCAAATGTACTAATAACCAATAACTTTCAGTCAAGACCACTTTTGACCAACCTTTTCATTTATATAATTTTTTTTTCTCCTCTACCCAAAGGTTGTCTGGAAGGGATTGCTTTAGCGATAAGACCGCCTCTTGTGTTGTCCATAAGTGTAATATATATTTTTTTATTTATTTATTCATTATTACAAATATGTGTACATGGCGGACTTAATGCTAAAAGCATTCTCTCCCAGTCAACCATAGGGAAGTGGCAGAATACTCGAATGCGGTACTACTAATTATACTAGTAATATATATTCTAATGTTCTAGTAATCTTTCTATTTTTTAAGTGGTGCAATAATGAGTAAATAAATTAATAAATCTACACTAATATTATAAAGAAGAAAGATTTGTATTTTTGTGTGTATGTTTGTAATAAATAAACTCAAAAACTACTTTGCTAATTTCAAAAATTCTTTCACCATCAGAAAGCTATATTCACCCTGAGTAACACAGAATATATTTATTGCTAGAAAAGATTAGGGATCCTTACTAAAACTTTAGTAACGTAACTCAAGGTGTAAAAAAATGCTATATCTATCGTCGCGTGCGCTGCGGAAACTATTGGTGATAGAACAAAAGTATGTTCTACAATATTGAAGAAAATATCAATAACTACAAGAAACTCCGCAATACTATATGCCCAACTATTATCGTTATGTCACAATAAGCACTTTTTAAAATGTCATAAAAATGTCCACCTATGCGAAGCTGGGACGGGCCGCTAGTATTATATAAAACGTGTGTCGCACCTGCCGTACTCGCAGCGTCCGACGGCGTGCAGGCGGCCACTGCCGTCGATGGCGAGCGAGTGGTGCTGGCCGGCCGCCACCGCCCGCCAGGGGCCGCCGCCCGCCGGGAACGCGTCGCACTCCACCGGAGAGAAGATCGCCGTCTTGCGCTTCTCGCCCGTTATACCTGCGCCAACAATTATTATACTCTTTTCTGAATCTACAACCTGCTTTTAGGTGTTTCAAAATGCATCCCGCAGTTTCAAAATACTGAAAACTTTAGCATTTTTCAATTTCTAAATATATTTTTCAGTATTTCTTAATCTGTAATATAAAAAATATTTTAATATTACACTAAAATCTTGTACAAAAGTATGGTCCAACATAAAACTCGGCTTGGCCCTGATGACTAAAGCCGTCAGCAACGCAACACAACACTGGAAGAATTGCAGGTGTTGCAGACTTTGTAAAAAGGAATATGCTCTTTTCTTGAAGGTTACGATGTTAATTCGGTAATATTGCCGCTAGGATGAGATTCCTGGTATTGATAATTCCTGAAAAGACTCCCCATAATACATTCAATAAAAAATACATTGAGATGCAATGTTTCCAGTTATTAGATATTCTTCTTCTTCTATTCTTTTTTCACTGAGTTTTGGTTTAATATTACCCCAACCACTAACCTGTATAGGTGATAGTTACCAGTTTTCACATAACGGATTGTCAACTTGTTTGCCATTAAAGACTACATAGAATAGATGTAAACTGACCGAGCTGTCCGTAGTTGTTGAGCCCCCAGGCGAAGATCTTGTCGTTGGTGGCGTCGAGCGCGAAGGTGGCGTGGTAGCCGGCCCATACTCGCTTCGCACCGCCTTTCAGGGTCACCTTTGACGGCACCAGCAACGCGCCTGCACAATTACAATCATTACAATTACCGTGTAGGGTGAGGGGGGAGGGATTGTTAGTAATGGTGTAATAGTCCCACTGCTGGGGGGAAGGGATTGTTAGTAATGGGTTCTAACAGCCCCATTACTATACCATATACCCTATCAGGTTGACCTCCACGCGGTTTCCCCTGGAAACCGTCGTGGTTAACTCTTATTGAATTCTTCACGATGGGCCAACTGACCTGCTTTCATTGTCACCTATCATCTCTCACTGGTGCTCCGCCAGCGTATACCGATAGCGCAGGCGGGGTTACAATCCCATTTATCATCCATTAAAACAAAAAAATAGTCCCACTGCTAGGTATCCTGGCAGGTAGACCTCCATGTGGCGCCCCTGGAAACTATCGTGCTGAATTCCAGGTGTATTTATCACGATGGGCTAACTGGCCTGTCTTTTCAACATCACCTATTCACCCCTCACTGGTGTCCTGCCATATACCGACAGTGAGGGAGTGTCATAACCATGCATTGACAGTCATTACAATACAATCATAAAATTTAGGTAACAATTGGTAGGTGGTAACAACATACTATAAAATTCTGAGTATTTTGTTTTTTAAATCGCAATCAATAAAAAAGAAATGGTAAATTTATATCAATACTTTAATAAACTTTCGAAATGTGCGCAAAACTAAAAATATTACCACCAATAATGTAAACACAAACTAGTATTTTGCAAGTGTGTCCAGGCTTGGACTTTGACTAAACAGAAATTGTCTGTTTTGTGTGAGCCACCACTTTATTTGTTCTTTTTAGTAGTAGATATAATTTTTTTACTGTTTGTTTTGCCTAAGCTTCATAATTATAACGTGTAATACTCACTAAATCCCTGCCTGGCGTCCCTGGACGCGGACCGCTGTGAGAGTCTGCCCAGCTGGCCTTGCTCACCGCAACCCATTGTGTATACAGCACCTGACACCTGTAAATTGGGAATATTAGTAAATTATTAAAATTAAAATTATTAACCTGATGGAAAGTGGTGACCGTCGCCGATAGACATGAGCAGTACCATGGATGTAATACCCCCCATGCGTTGCCATTCCTGAGGACTCAGGTGTTATTCCTCTGTACCCAGTAAATTCACGCCATATCCCACCCTTCAAACCGAAACACAGCCATGCAAACACAACTGCTTCACGGTAGAAACACGAATGGGACAGAGGTACCCAAGCAATCGACTTTTGTACAAAGTCGCCCTCTGGTCACTTGTAGTATTATATGTAAATTGGGGGTAAGATTTTTAGTAATAGGATTGTACAGTCTCACTGTTAGCAATATATCAGGTCGACCTCCTCTCGGTTTTCCTGAAAACCTGGTTAGATAGATACTCTTTATTGTTTCCTCCATAAGATTACAATAGTAAACTTATTATAAATACAAACAAGTACAAGAAAATATTACACTGAGAAAACAATGGGCGTCCTTATCGCTAAGAGCGATCTCTACCAGGCAACCTTTGGATGGAGAGGAGTAATTATAAACAGTTTGATTGAAGGTACAATGAAGATCCTATTATTTCTGAATAAAAAATATGGTTAATTCTTGGTGAATTCCTCATAATGAGCTAATTGATCTGTTTTCATTCTCACTTGTCATCTTGCACTAGTCCTCGGTCAGCGTACTGATAGTGCATGCGGAGTTACCATTCTATTATCATCCATAAAAAATTCCATTGCTAGTAATATACCGTATTTATCAGTGGCAGCCGACTTGACTAGACCCAAGATCTACTGTTTACTGACAAAACTCTATGTGATCTACCAATTGCATACTTCTTGAAATTACAAATGAAACAACATAGTTCAGTGGGGGGAAAAGGGATTGTTAGTAATGGAGACTAAGAATCCCATTGCTAGCAATATATCCAACCAGGTCGACCTCCTCGCGGTTTCCCCTGGAAACTATCATGATTAATTCCTGATGAACTCATCATGATGGGCTAACTGGCCTGTTTTCATCCTCATCGATCACCCTTCACTGGTGCCCCGCCAGCGTATCCCATTAGCGCAGGCGGGGTTACCACTCCATTTTCATCCAATAAAAAAAAAAAAACATAGTTCAGTACACAATCATGTAGTATTTTTTTTTTTATTTTATTTTTTATAATGCAGTATTTCATTAAGAGGGAAAACACAAAACTGTAAATTATTCTTAGTAACTACTTATTTATATTAGTGTGAGCATTACGTCTGAGCATTCCCCTGGTGACCCCGCTTGCGCTAACGGTATACACTGGCGGGGCACCAGTGAGGGATGATAGGTGATAATAAAAATGTAGGTCAGATAGCCCATCGTGATGAATACACCAGGAATTAGGCACGATGGTTACCAGGGGGGACCACGTGGAGGTCGACCTGATACCATATATTGCTATGGGATTGGTAGTCCGCAGTTATTAATAATCCCTTCCCGATTGGCCACCCCTGCTATAGATCGACCTCGACGCGGTTTCCCCTGGAAACCATCGTGGTGAATGCTCGTCAAATTTGGTGATGTTGATAGTTCGAGTACTGACGGTGAGCACGACGAGGTGGTCGCCGCCGGAGGCGATGTCGGCGGCGGGCTCGGGCAGCGGCAGCCGCACCGGCTCGCGGCTCGGCTTGGCCTCGCGCCCGCGCACCACCAGCCCCATGCTGCCGTGCGAGTCCTGACAACACATACCACACGTGTTAGTAAATAACAAGAGTGAGATGTATCAGTTAAACTGAACATCGTTTCTATATAAATCATGGATCTGTTAATAATAATAATAAAAAAAAAAAAAATGTGCTTTTTATATCAAATAATTTTATATACTAATTACGATATGTATCATTTACCAGAGGCAGACTTAGGGAGGGTACCCTGGATGTGCAAGTGAAGCTACCCAAAATCCAAATTCCCTTGTTCACAGGATGTTACGAATCGTGGCCCGCCTACCAGGATTTATTTATTTCTTTAGTGCATAACAATACATCGCTTAGTAGTAAAAATTACATTATTTGAAAACAAGTATTGGTGGTGAAGCAGAGAATTTATTAAAACACACAAGTGACGGAAAATAACTACCTACAAGCTTGAAATACACTGAAAGAAAGGTATAGTAACAAACGACTAATAGTTAACTCTCTTTTAAAAAGACACAAAAGAAAATTATGAATCACTCAGCTAATCAAATTAAAGCATTATTGGATACAACGCCTGAATGCATAAATAACTTACAGAATTTGAATATTTCCACCGATTCTTGGGATCCCATAATCATATTTCTGGTCGTTCAGAAGTTGGACCCAGAGTCACATAAACAATGGGAGGCGTATTCTTATAAAGAAAATTCAGATGAACTACCCTCATGGACTGACTTGAAGAAATTCTTAGAACCTCAATTCCGTACATTAGAATTAGTCACACCGTTATCATGCACTAAAGAGCGAACTATTAGAGAAAGATCATACCACGTGACAACTCCAAATAAAACTTGTAACTTGTGCAAGAGTAACCACGCCTTATGTCATTGCAAGGAGTTTACAAAATTGCCCCCCCCCTGGAACGTAAGGAATTTGCCAAGAACAATAATCTTTGTTACAACTGTCTAGTACCAGGACACTCGGTGTTGAAATGCCGTACACCAGTTCCCTGTCATGTGTGTCACAAGCGCCACCATTCTCTTCTACATTTACAGAAGAAATCGGACACGTCGGGTCAAATAGGTACCATGCAACCGAGTGTGTCACCATCCCCATCCAATGTGGAAGAGCAAGAGGAGATAAGAGACAATGGTAGCGTCTAATTGCAATACTAGGCAGAAGATAGCACTATTAGCGACCGCAATGGTGATAGTAAGAAGTGAACGCGGTCACACCACTGTCTTAAGGGCGCTAATAGATCCAGGGTCGGAATCATCGTTTATAAGTGAAAAAGCAACTCATTTACTTCAACTCACTAGAACAACAGCTAAAAGAAGTATTATCGGAATGGGATCTATGAAAACGAATGTAAACCAAGTAGCTCAGTTCAAAGTAGTTTCAAGATACAAGTCGGATTATAGTGTACAAGTAGAAGCATACGTCGTGTCTCAACAACTGACTACTAAGATACCCACAAAATCACTTGCTGTTCATAATTGGCCACATCTAGAACGATTACACCTAGCTGATCCAAGTTATTGTACTCCAGGCTCCATAGATCTTCTTCTTGGTGTCAAAGAATATGCTAAAATATTGCAATTTGATTTAATCAAAGGTCCATCTGGCTCACCATGTGCATTAAAAACAGGTCTTGATTGGATTTTATTTGGTGAGGTACATTCTGATGAAAATTGTACTCAAGAATCAAACTTTATTTTTACACATCATGCAGTAGATGTAGACGAAATGCTGAAAGTCATATGGGAGGTAGATATGGATACTCAAAGAAAATTTGCTAAAGAAAAGAGGCTGTGTGAAGACATCTACGAAAAAACATATAAAAGAAATGATAAAGGACGATATATAGATACATACGATAAAGCTACCGTTTAAGACAGAGAATTCAGTTTCATTAGATGGAAATACAAGAGAAATAGCATTGAATAGGTTTTTACAATTGAAGAAAAATTTCAATAGACAACCACAATTAAAAGAAAAATACACTCAAATGATAGAAGAATATAAAAATATGAAACACTTCTATGTGTGTGTCACACTTGTTGCTACACAAACTAGAGTTGCCCCATTGAAAACATTATCACTACCACGTTTAGAGCTTTGTGGCGCTGTCTTACTTTCAAGATTGCTCAAACAAGTAACACAAGCAATGAAATTATCTATGTCCCAAGTGTTTACGTGGACTGATTCCACTATTGTCATATCTTGGCTACTTGGGGAACTCAGTAAATGAAAACCCTTCGTTTTTTTTTTTTTTTTTTTTTTTTTTTTTTATAGAACTTAGAATGGCAAACAAGCTGACGGCCCACCTGATGGAAAGTGGTAACCGTCGCCTATACACATGAGCAGTACCGTGGACATAACAGAGTATACTGTTTCGCCCATGATACCCCCCATGCGTTGCCATTCCTGAGGACTTAGGTGTTATTCCTCTGTACCCAGTAAATTCACGCCATATCCCACCCTTCAAACCGAAACACAGCCATGCAAACACAACTGCTTCACGGTTGAAACACGAATGGGTTGCTAATAGGGTGGTAGAAATATTAGATAATACCAACAACAGACAATGGTACTATGTGAAATCACAAGTCAACCCTGCTGACACAGCGTCCAGAGGTATGTATCTTAAAGATTTGCAAAATTTGAACTTGTGGTGGAAGGGACCGAAATGGTTGTCTGAACATAAGATAGAATTTCATAAGCCAAGTTGTACACAAACAGATGAGGAAATGAAAAAGGTTATACACGTAAACTTAAATATAAATAATAACGAAGAAGAAAAAGAAAATAATATATAGGTATACACAATTTGAAAATTATAATACATTAACAGAATTATTAAAAATAATAACATTTTGTAAAAGATTTCTAAAGTTTAGATTGTTGGCAGAAAATATAAACAATACGAATACAACAAAGAATTAGAGGATTCATTACGTATATGTATACAAATAAGTCAGAAAATAGATTTTGAAGATGAAATAGAAGCATTAGAAAAGAAGAAATCAGTAAAAAGAACCAGCAATCTAAAATCGTTAAATCCATACTTAGATGAACAACGTATTCTCAGGGTGGGCGGAAGGCTCAGACACGCTAATATCGATGAAGAGAGTAAACATTCAATCATATTAAATTATACAAACAGATTTACATATTTAATTGTCGCTGATGCCCATCGTAGAACTTTACATGGAGGTATACAAGTTATGCTGACGTATTTAACTTCTAAGTACTGTATAGTAAGAGGGAAGGGTATGATTAAGGGATACATAAATAAATGTTTGATCTGTGCGAGACATAAAGTTGCTGTTAGAACCCAGATCATGGGAGATTTACCTAAAGCACGTGTGACACTCTGTCGACCATTCTTGCAGAGCGGAGTTGATTTTACTGGACCATTTCAAATTTTGATATCAAAGGGCAGAGGTATGAAAACAAATAAAGCTTATATTGCTATATTTGTATGGCTACTAAAGCCATTCATCTGGAATTGGTTGGAGATATGACGTCAGAGGCATTTATTGATGCATTTAAACGGTTTACTGTCGGAAGAGGAAAGTGCTCCCTTTTAGGGAGTGATCAAGGGAGAAACTTTATAGGAGCAAATAAGGAGTTAGTAACTGCCTGGAAGGAAGCTTGTTTGGAATTTAAAGGGGAAATTGCTGAATCTTTGGTGTGCGATGTTACTCAAAGGCATTTCATCCCTGCTTATAGCCCAAATTTCGAAGGTTTATGGGAAGCGGGCGTAAAATCAATTAAGTACCATTTAAAGAGAATATTAATCAACCACTTGACTTTTGAGGAAATGACCATCATTCTCTGTGAAATAGAGGCGTGCCTAAATTCTAGACCGCTCTGTCCGATTGATGATTCAGGTGACATAATTCAACACTTAACACCGGGGTATTTCCTGATTGGCGAAGCACCTATTGTCATTCCCAATCCAGATTTACAGCATTTTAAAGTTAGTAACATATCGCGCATAATTACAACAACATATTCTGTAAATTCACTGTCATATCCAATCTTGGAAGAAGGCAGGTTTGGGAAAGGGTTGTTAAGTTAATGTGGACTTCCAGTCCTATTGCTAGCAATATATGCTATCAGGTCGACGTTCACGTGGTTCTCCTTGGAAACTAGCGTGTTGGATTTCAAGTGCCCAATCCCTTACTGGTGTCCCGCCCGCGTATCCCGTTAGCGCAAGCGGGGTAGCCATACCATTTTCACCCATAAAAAAAAAATCGGGTTTTTTTTGCAACTTATTCTAAGGCAAACAAGCTGACGGCCCACCTGATGGAAACTTGTAACCGTCGCCTATAGACATGAGCAGTACCATGGACATAACAGAGTATACTGTTTCGCCCATGATATTCCTCATGTGTTGTCATTCCTGATAACTCAGTTGTTATTCTTCTGTACTTTGTAAATTCACTGCTATATCCTACCCTTGAAATCGATGGGGGGAAGGGGTTATTAGGTTAATGCGGACTTTTAGTCCTACTGCTAGCAATATACGCTATCAGGTCGACATTCTTGTGGTTCTCCTTGGAAACTAGAGTGTTGGATTCCAAGTGTGCAATCCGTCACTGGTGCCTCGCCAGCGTATCCCGTTAGCGCAGGCGGAGTTGCCATACCATTTTCATCCATCCAAAAAAAAAAATATCGGGGTGAACGGCACTAAAAAGAGAATAAAGAAAGAGTTACCCGGAAGGAGCCCCAGATGTAGACGGAGCCGTCGGCAAGCAGCGCGGCGGAGTGCGAGTCTCCGGCGGCGAGGCGCGCGGCGGCGGCCGGCAGCCGCAGCGCCCGCGCCGCGCCCTCCTCGCGCTCGCCCGCCGCCGCGCGGCCCAGCGCGCCCTCGTCGTTGCACCCGAACGACCACACCTGCACCGACACACACATCACACCACACGCTAGCACGGCGCTGCACCCGACCACACCTGCACCGACACACACATCACACCACACGCTAGCACGGCGCTGCACCCGACCACACCTGCACCGACACACACATCACACCACACGCTAGCACGGCGCTGCACCCGACCACACCTGCAGCGACACACACATCACACGCTAGCACGGCGCTGCACCCGACCACACCTGCACCGACACACACATCACACGCTAGCACGGCGCTGCACCCGACCACACCTGCAGCGACACACACATCACACGCTAGCACGGCGCTGCACCCGACCACACCTGCACCGACACACACATCACACGCTAGCACGGCGCTGCACCCGACCACACCTGCACCGACACACACATCACACGCTAGCACGGCGCTGCACCCGACCACACCTGCACCGACACACACATCACACGCTAGCACGGCGCTGCACCCGACCACACCTGCACCGACACACACATCACACGCTAGCACGGCGCTGCACCCGACCACACCTGCACCGACACACACATCACACTAGCGGTCAGGGGGGACTTTTTTTAATAATAATATTTTTTTCGCAAACATGCTTGGAAATGTGAGCATTATTTTGACAATCTTTTTCGAGATAAATCCAAATATTTTTTTTTTTACAACACAGGGGGCAAACGAGCATGCGGCTCACCTGATTGTAAGTGACTACCGCCGCCCATGATCACCTACAACACCAGCGGCATTGCAGGTGTGCTGCCGGCCTTTTAAAAAGGAATATAATCTTTTCTTGAAGGTTATGTTGTCGTATCGGTTCGGAAATACTGCTGCTGGAAGTTGATTCCAAAAAATGGTTGTGCGTGGAAGAAAGTTGCCTTGAAAAATGCAAGGTGGAAGACCGCCACTCGTCCAGATGATCGGGATGAAACTTTAGTTTGTGGCGGGTTGTACGGTGATGAAAATCAGCAGCAGGTATCAATCCGAACAATTCCTCAGAACACTCCCCATGATAAATTCGGTAGAAGATGCACAGAGATGCAACATCTCTGCGCAGTTTCAGTGGATCAAGTCGGACAGTAAGGCGTTGACTATTAATAATTCGAGCCGCCTGACTTTGAATGCGGTCTAACGGAAGGAGTTGGTATTGTGGCGCTCCTGCCCATAGATGAGAACAGTATTTCATATGCGGCCTGACTTGAGCTTTATATCATTTCAGGCGGTGTTCCGGCATGAAATACCGTCTCATCCTATTGAGCACTCCTTACTTTTTGGAAGCTATCATAGCGTTCTCCTCCAGATGACCGCAAAACTGGACGTCGCAAGATATATCAACGCCCAGAATTCCTTAACTCGACTTTTTATCAAGGGAAGTGCCCTGAAAGTGAGGAGATACGACAAACGGCGTCTTTTTTGCGGTGAATGCGCAGACTTGTGTCTTCTTAGGGTTAAATTGGACAAGATTTTGTTCACACCAGATCGAAACTTGATGGAGTGATGTTTCGATTTCAGACACAAGTCTGTTCCGGCACTCATCGGTATGTGCCCGCGAGATCTTTGCATGACCGGTATATAATGCATCTCCTATACTGACGTCTGCATAGCAATGAATATCACTGATCTGTAACATATCATTGATATGCAGAAGAAACAGAGTCGGAGATAGTACACAGGCTTGCGGGACACCAGCATTCACAGGTTTTAAATCAGAGCATGCTCCGTCGACTACGACCTTGATGCTACGTTCCTTGAGAAAGCTGGCGACCCAAATACACAGTCTCGCAGGCAACCCAAATGAAGGTAGCTTTGAAAGCAGCGCTCTATGCCACACCCGATCAAAGGCTTCCGCAATATCCAAACTAACAGCTAAGGCCTGTCCCTTACTCTCGATTGCCATTGCCCATCGGTGTGTTAAGTAAGCTAAAAGATCACCGGCCGAACGTCCCTGTCGAAAGCCGTACTGGCGATCACAGATCAGCTGGTGCTCTTCTAGGTACCGGAACAGTTGACGGTTAATGATGGATTCCATAATCTTTCAGAATAAGGAAGTGATAGCTATGGGCCTATAGTTAGCCGGATCTGAGCGATCTCCCTTTTTAGGGATCGGATGTACCAGAGCAGTCTTCCAAAACTTTGGGACTATGCCCGATGAGTAGCAGAGCCGAAAAAGACGCATAAGAACCGGAGCCAACTCTGGTGCGCACATCCTAAGCACAATTGGAGGAATACCATCGGGCCCACTCGATTTATGGATTTCAAGGGAAAAAACTGCTCTACGCACTGAGCTGTGCGTGAATTTAATGTCAGATAGGCAATTGCCGTACTGGCCAGATACATACGGGCAGTGGCCGGCAAAAGGTGTATGAAAATCCATATCTGTCGTGTTATGCGGCCAGATAAATTACTATGTTAACTCATATTTGTCCTGTAATTTAAAAATGGAATGACCTTTTACTTCGAAACATGGCTACCAAGAAGGTAAGTAAAAGTTTTATTTAAATTTCGAACTGGCTTGCAAATAGAAAGCTGTTTATTGAGAGAAAAAAAAAAAAGGGAGATTATGGCGCGTGAAAAATTATTATTGTTCGTTATTTGTCATTGAACTTGAAAAGTAAAATTGTGTTTTTGATTTCCGTGCATTGTTTGAGAAAAGTACTATACAAGCCTTGGCCACAACTAGGCACTGATGTCAGTTGCTGGCCGCTGCAGTAATGTATTATTATTTCGTACTTTTTTAGTCCATTAAATATTTATTAGTAACAATATTCTTAAAACTAATGTTAGTAAATTTACATAAACAACACACACACACACACACACATAATATATTAAATAATATACAGATAATCACCGCTGTACAATTCCATTGGAAATTGCGCAGCAGTGATTAACGTACACACAGTCCAGCCTACCTCCAGTGAAAGAATGAATGAATGAAGCAAGTCAATTAGCCCTTGATAAAAGCAACAAGCCAATTGCTTGGGCACCTCTGTCACATTCGTTTTTCAACCGTGAAGCAGTTGTGTTTGCATGGCTGTGTTTCGGTTTAAAGGGTGGGATATGGCGTGAATTTACTGGGTACAGAGGAATAACACCCGAGTCCTCAGTAAGTGCAACACATGGGGATTATGATAAGCGAAACAGTATACTCTGTTATATCCATGGTACTACTCATGTCTATAGGCGACGGTTACCACTTTCCATCAGGTGGGCCAAGCTTATTTGCCATTCTAAGTATAGTAATAGTATAAAAAAAAAAAAGATTAATCACGATGGTTTCCAGGGGGAACCACGTGGAAATCAATCTGATAAGGTGTATTGCCAACAATAGATTCATTAGACCCCTTTACTGACAATCCCTTTCCCCCCATAGGCAGGGGGGACTAACACTATCAGCTCCCCTTCCATGAGGTTCCCTCTGGAACCTATCGTGGTTGTAACGAAGAAGGACTTATTAGTAATGAAGTCTAATTGTCCCATCGCTAGCAATATACACTCTCAGATCCACCTCCACGTGGTTCTATCTGGAAACTATCATGAACAATTCTCGTTGAATTCGTTACGATGAACTAACTGATCTGTTTTCATTTTCATCGATCACCCTACACTGGTACCCCACCAATGTATACCAGTAACTAATAACTAAAAATAAAATAAAGCAGGCGAGGTTACCATTCCATTTTCACCCATAAAAAACCCCAACTCTAGCAGTATAAAGGTACATCTCAACGAGACAGGCTTTGGCTAGTGCGGAATCATAATTATACTGTACCATAGCCTAACTTTGTTTAAAGAAATAAAATTAATTTTATTTTTTAATAAATCTTTACAGAATTCCCCCTACAAGTCCTGGTTCATCCTCACCTATCATCCCTCACTGGTGTCCCGTCAGTGTACACCAATAGCACAGACAGGCATTCTATTATCACCCGTTAAAAAATACAAATGGCAAACAAATCACGTATTCACGGTACTAATCTCATTCTATAACATGAAATTGCTAGCAATAACAAGTTTATACCATATATCGTGATAATTTTAACAATTTACCATTAAAAAAGAACAAACAGGTATACCATTATTAATAAGCCATGTAATTCCAGACAGGCACAGACTGTGTCAATCTTTCCCTTCCCGTGAGTGTCACAAGAGGCAATGAAAGGAACTTTAATAATCGAGTGAGGGACAGCAGCGTTTCTCTTAAAACATCAATCGCCTGCCAAGCGTGGTAACTATTAGAAAAACCGAAATAGAAGAGAAGCCTATGTCTAATTAACTGTTAACAGCTAATATGACACCATTACGTATTTTTTTTTTTATTTAACAAAGTATGTTTGTATTAGCACAGAATATATCATTGCCTCCTACACTGGGCTGAGCCTGTCCTGTAGGAAGCAGTACTCGTGTTATTATATACCATACATGCATATAGATATTAAACATAGGCTTTTTAGCAGTACTGACAATTGTGTAACTAATTTGTGTAATGCAATTATTACTTTTTTTTTTAGATCTCACCACCAATGCACATGTATAAATAAGTATTATGAATGTGTGTGTGTGTGTGTGTGTGTGTGTGTGTGTGTGTGTGTGTGTGTGTGTGTGTGTATGTGTGTGTGTGTCGGTATGTGTGTGTGTGTGTGTAATAAAACTCTCATTTTCAGTTCAAAACAAATTCATAATGTATAAGAGCCACTTCTATCAAAGATCACTTTAATGTTTTATCTATAAAATTTATAGAGTACTAGTCTTATCTGACATAAGAATTTTAATAGTAACCTTGACCCATTTTTAATAATATCTATACATATTTGTTATTTTATGTATTATATAATTTATAAATATTGTTGGTTTGTTTACACCAGATTATAAACATATTATATGTACTCACACACTCATAGATTGAGAATACAGTTACAGAGATTAAAAAAAAAAAACCAATTACAGTAGTGTGCGTGTAATGTAAATGTGTGCTTGTAACAGTTAGGAATTTTCAAGGAATCGAACTTGAAATAAGATTGTTTCAGGAAAAAAAAAGTAGAATTGTGGCAAAATGTGGTTATTTTGATTTAAAAAACTGAAGTATTGAATTAATTTTGATAAAATTTCTACGGAGCTAGCTAATTTGTAACAATATCTTTCTTTCAGATAAAAAATAATTTGTAATTGTAAACTAATAGGTTTACAATGGAGGGAGTTATGAAGTAACAAGCATAAAAAATACAACTGAATTGAGACCTCCTTCTTTTTGAAGTTGATTGAAAGTGCCAAATGTTTGTGTATTTGTTATTTAGTTAAAACTTTACTGTGATTAAATTAATTTTTGTTCTTGCCAATTCATGTACAAAAAAAGAGAGGTTTATGTTTTCTGTATTTATGTATTATTCAGGCCATATCCCTCTTTTAAACCGAAACATAACCATATAAACATTAACAAAGTAGTTCCCACGCTTGGCAACTGCTAACTACTGACAAAAACTTCCAAGGAGCAGGCCTGCTGAATATATAGTGAAGTATTAATGGCTGATAATAATAATAATTATGCAAGCACAGCTGCTTAGTACAAGAAATAAGAGTGGGACAAAGGTACCCAAACAGATAACTTTAGTCTCCCACTGGTTTAAAGTATCTATTTATAGCGTACCTTCCCATCGCTGTCAAGTGCGACCGTGTGCATACCCCCCGCGCGGACCTCCACTATTTTGTCCCCTAATGCAGTCACATGTTTGAATCTGAAAAAAAAAAAAAAACATTTATGAATATCGTATTATTTTTTATTAGTTTGTTACTTCATAGTGACTTAAGTATACGCATACTATGTGAGACAGAGAAAGATAATGGACACTTTCTATTTCTGTCAGTAAATATATCCCAATAGCGAAAAAAGTCATGGGTAAAAGCTAGCGTACATATATATATATATATATATATATATATATATATATATATATATATATATATATACAACAAAAACATAATCACGGTAAATATTGATTATTGTTATGTCATATTATAATGTACTTTGTTAAGAGAGGGACTGGCTGAAAATCAGCGCTGTGCAGCTGTACACACTGCACTGGGACACTCACAGCATCAGCTGAGCCGGTTCCTTTTGCTTAACATGAGACATTTCTTATTATGGCCATAGCTAAGAGAGAGAGAGAGAGAGAAGAGGGGGATGCCCTACCTTAAAATGAAAGGCCCCCAGAAAGATATTTGTTTTTTTCGAAATCGGTTAATTATGGCTTTTGCCCTACCAAAAAGTTCTTTTGCCCTAACTTGAATATAGCTACTGCTAACTACTACAGCCCTGCTTCTTATATATGTAATATTTCTCTATTTTCCGTTATTTATTCTTACAAAAAATAATTACAATTCAAAATATTTTGTTCAAAAGAATTTAAAATAGTGTATCATAATGTAATATTTATTAAGGCCATAAAAGACATAAAGCCATGAAAGGGCTTAATATTGTAGCCGGTGGAACGTGGTACACCATATTACGTACCTATTAACCTGTAATTATTACAGTATGCACAATAAATCATTCTATCATTAATAAAATATGTAAATTTTAACAGGTAATTCCTGTCATTCCGTATTTTGATTATTTATCGATTACCTATTTCATAATGCAAGCGACATAGAATGCGGTACCGAGCCAATGGACGATGTGTACATAAATACATATCTGTCTCTACCGTCTCCCATTAAGGGGAACCGGTGAGCTTGACGGTGTTCAAGTTAACACTATATTATCTATTCCGTATAGATAACGTAAATGCGATTGATAAATACTATCCCTCCCCATTATTTATAACAACTAAAATCTATTGAAAGTATTAAATTGTTTTGTCCCTTTCTTTCAAATTGAGAACTTAGCGACAAAGAGATTAAGACAAAACGTCAATAATCAAAATAAATTTACAAGAAGTTTGAAGTTTTTATGAATAACAGGGGGGGGGGAGGGGTTTACATGTCTTTTGGGGAGGCCTAAGTTCATAATGGACGGATAGTAGCTGTTCTCTAGGCTCTGTTTTCAATTAATAAGTCGGAGATTTTTTTTTAATACTACTATGGTGGAAAACAAAAATACGCAAAACAAACTTTACAGTATAGATAAAGTACTTACTTTGATGTTTCCATAACATCTTCACCTAATCCGAGTTGCCCGACGTCACCTTGGCCGCATGTAAACACACGACCCCTCTTTTTGGGCGCACTTGGTATCTCCAATTGGATCGCTGCAGAAGAAATTGTTATTTATATCATCTTGAAACAATAATATAAGTATGTCAGTGGATGCAGGTGGAACAGTTCTAATCCTTATGGCAGTTTATAGGGAAGGCCTATCTTTAGCAGTGAACAGGTAATGGCCGAAATGATGAATGTCAAAATAGTGCATTAAATAGCTTCAAAAAATGTAATCTATCCCCCTTATTCATAAAAACATCAAATTTCTCAAAAACCTATTTCGTTTATCAAACTGTTTTGTCTCTTTCTGTCATGCTTAATTACGAATTTAAAAGAAAGTGACAAAATAGTGCAATAATAAAAAAAAAGTGTTTAGTAATTACAAATAAGGGGGTATTTGTATACATAGTACTAATTGCATCCTGCGGCTTTGCCCGTGTATGTATTGTGACATTAAAAAGTTTTGTTCAAAACATGAGCTGTCAAATAAAAAAAGGATTTTCCAAATTCATCTGGTAGTTCCAAGGATTAGCATATTCAAACAAACAAACTCTTCAGCTTTATTACATTAGTATATTATATAGATAAGAGATGTTAAGTCTTAAACAATCTTAATAACAGATTTGTTAGTATGACTGTCAGCATTATACATAAACACTGAAGCGATAGTAATGATTGTCACACTGTATTGAACTACATATGAGTCGCCATAATACTCAAGCGCTATAAATTACCCCATAAAATGCACACCCCAATTACCATTTATTTCCCTATCAAGTAGATTTTGTTAAAAAAAAAAAAACTAACTTAGATGTGATAAATCAAGTTATTTTAATGCTGTAATCAAGCTACTGAATCAATATTGATAAAGTTTGTACAGAATGAATCTAAAAGACTAAACTAATAAAAAAAAAAAGAATTTTCAAAATCGGTTTATAAATGACAGAATATAAAGTCTATAAGAATATATAAAAAAAAAAATCAAGCAAATAGAAAACCTTATTTTCCGAAGTCGGTTAAAAACATTGGCCAAGACAAAATTGTGAATATAGCTAGTTTAATAAATAAGGGGTAGGGTCGGTAGGGGTCGCCCTAGACGGACGTATGTCGACCAAATAGGCGACGTGCTGAAGAAGGACCAAATTAAAAGTACCCGTAACCGGCGAGCGCGTATACAAAGATTGATGAATGTGGAAGAAGCGAAAGAGGTTTGTTTGAATCGAAGCATTTGGCGTTCCATTGTTTCAGCCTGCCCTAATGGGAGACAGGCGTGACAGATATGTATGTATGTATGTAATAAATAAAACCAATTGTGTTTAATAAATGAATGATGAGAAAGTAGAATTCTTATGTAAGATTATGCCCCCTTATATATATATATATATATTAAATGTCTAGTAGTTTATCCATAACAAACAAAAAATAGGGGGAAGGGATTGTTAGTAATGAGGAGGTTAGTCACCATTGCTATCAATATACTCTATCAGGTCGACTTGCACCCCCCCCCCCGGAAACTATTGTGACTAATTTGAGTGACTAACTGATACCCCTTCAGTGTATACCGATAGCGATATAATAAAATAATTTCCAAATTCAACTCAACTATTCTCATATAAAAAAAAAAAACAACTAAAGTATTACATTATCAATAACAACATGTAGTCATTGTTTTGAGTATGCAAGTGTTGCCATTTTTATTATAAATATTTTATAAGAAACAGTTATGTACTTGAGATATTTAGTTGAAATCTTTCCTATTTTATTTTAATGGCAACTCATAGACTTTATGATAAACTATAGAGCATGTAATATTTAAATGTTAGAAATATGATTCGAATAGGTTACTATTGATAGATGAGATTCAAAAGTTGACAAGTACTGTACTGCATTCACTAGAAGAACTATGATCAAGACCTGTATTTTTTCAAGCTGTTGTACAAGTTTATTTTAAAAACTATTGAGAAGATTTGTAATTGATGACAAGTACACTAAACATATATGATTGATGATTAACAATTGTCAATGATTAGACATTTCAAACTTTAAAGAGGCTCAAAAAAAAGATTTGTATCCAGCGCCGCCGTTCAAAATATGTAAAATAAAAAATTACAAAATTTGTATTGAACAAAAAAAAAAAAAAAAAGAAAAGGATTAATATGTTTTTAATGTTAAATTTATTTAAAACAGTGAGACTGCCATGACATATATGTTTGTAATTTAGAACATTGTATAAAATAAATTTCTAACCTTATTTCGGCAAGCACCTACATATTTATAAATAATATTTATGATTATGACAAGTTTGATGCATTTATGTGTTTGAGCGAGTATACTAAGTGGGGTATATCTTTGCAGCATCCCACTTATTGTGTCTAATAACCTATCTAGATATTTTTTTGGTATGAGTCTTTACATTATTAATAAACTATACATGATTATGGTAAACTTATTATGCCAAATAAAATATATACACTTAAGTATATATTACACTTTAATAAACAGATCTTCTATATACTTAATTTAAATAGCCTAATATTAACAGTACAATTCAATACAAATTTATCAGTGTTAAATTAATGGTTGTGAATCATTAAGAATAATTTATGGTAATTTATCACATACCCTATCTAACTTGGTAACTTTCAATGTGACCTTATAATATTGTAAGTCTAAATTCGCATGGAAATGTACTAATCTCACTGCGATACAGCACGACATAAGTACATGTCTGAAAACACCTAAACTTAGCGGCAAGCAAGACCCAATAACCTCAAAAAACTATCTCAATCGACGCTTACATAATATCATAATGTAAACATGCGAAAGTAATATCACATCATATCTAAATTATGCTCTAAAACAACAATTAATCCTATATTACTAACATAAACAAGAGAAATTTGCATAATTATATTATTTTAGTGAAAATGTACGGAGCGTCTTTTCCCGCCATCATGCTTTGACAGGTCATTGACGTCGAACAAAAATGTAAAGAAAACAACTGAGAAATCACAATTGAACTCACCTCCACGTTTTTTCTTATTTTTGGGCCCCGAGGATGATGTGGCGGCCGATGACTTGGACGCTGTGCGTTTTACGCCCCGTGCCGCCGGCATTATGTCTGCAATATTGCAATAGACGCGTCAATAACACCACTTATCGCGGCAAACGCTTCACAAATCCGATGGCTTCTCAACTATGACGTATTTGCTGCTTTTATAATTACATTAACGCAGTATTTTTACAACGTTTGCATCTGCATCAATTACAAGGCTACGGCCTCATAGATTTATGCGAAGCGCAGATAGGTTATATTATGCATTTGTATATGATACACAGCGAACAAAACAACGCTTCCAATGCATACGGTAAAGCGTTGTATGGCGACAAGTTAGTGTACTTACAGTTTTATATATGAATTGTAATGGAAATTACAAATGAATTAAGAATTATCACTTTAGATTACGGGATGACGTATTATTTCAACAGAGTACAAATATCGCACATCTCCCTATGATCGCTTCGCTTGGCCAACGAACGAGTGATTGACAATACCGTAAAATATCGATTAATTTGGATTCGATTATATTCGATTACAGTATATACTTTAGATATAATTTATCGATATTTTTGAAGTAAATCTAGATAATATTTTCTTACATACATGTAATGAATTTTAAACGTTATTTCAATAAATATCATTCAAAGAGTTTATTCAATGTATTTGTCTGATGTTTTGTTGATATTATATAATCATAAAATTTTTAAATAAATCAAGATTTAATAAAAGTGTTTAGGTTTAGTTTTGTCGGATAAGCAATTTAAATATTATGAATTAAAAAAATAGTTAAAAACATTAATATCTCATCATCATTAGTTTCTTGTTAATATATATAATCGTCTAATATATAAAAACTCTGTATCACATTTTTTGTTCACGTTAATCTCTGAAATCGCTCAGTCAATTTTAATGAAATTTTAGCATTTATTATTTGTTTTAACTAGAGAGAAAGGACAATTTTATTCCAATAAGAGAAATGCAATTGCTAAGTGACGGCAAAGATAAATATAATATTTACTGAGTCAATTAATGTTATGTATGCATTTATCATGAAAATCAATAGATATTTGTAGACAGGTATTCAGAACGTTAGCTTTATATATGTATCTATATGAAATATTCAAGTCTTATTAATCCACTTGCTTTTACTTGCGACTTCGCAGAAATTATTTATTTATTTTTAGGAAACCTTCAATCAATACATAGTCAAATTACATTTATGTTGAGTCATAGATAGTTTTCACATTTGTGTAATTATGCAATCGATCGGTTTTTATATATGAAAATAATAATAATTATTATTATTGGGGGTGTTTTTGGTTGATGTCATCATACCGCATGACGAGAACCTCGTGAAAGCCGAAACTGAGATAAATAGAAAATATCTCGACCTGGCTCACGAGGTAACCGAAATATGGGGGTGACGTCCACCGAAATCATTTCAATCTTTTGTCGGTGAACGGTCTTATCCCAACGAGTCTGGAACAACATCACAGACGGTTGGGATTCCAAGGCGGTTTACTCCCGGGAAAGATGCAGAAAGCGATGCTCTTAGATTCTGCCCGCATTGTACGCCAGTTTCTCTCCCTGGAGCCCTGAACCCCAGCCGACTATGCTTCTGCCGGGGGTTAGTTTGCCATCTCCTCTCCTTAAGAGGGGAGAAGTGAATTTTCTAAAAATTTAAATAATAATTACAAAGTTATAAATTTTGTTAAGGCACCTTTATACCTTAATTTTAAATAATAATAAAAACAATATAAAGTATAACAACATTATTAAAATAGTCAATTTAGTAAAGCAGCCGAGATCTTAAAAATGACCTTGCCATTTGCAATTTAATTGCATGCAGTTTTGTGTGGAATAGATCAATATCTAAGTCAATCAATAACTTGTTAAACTTAATTAGAATTCTGCTGAAATATGAATTTCGCCTGAATTTGATTCTGTACTATAGTACATATAAACACGGCGGTTTCCTTTAAACTCTATAAGGAACAAAAAGATTTATATTTTGAACCAGTTTAGAACAATCAGTATCATCTCTTGCGATACTGATTAATAGACTTACATGTGCTATATTCCTTCTAGTTGCAAGAGGTAAGAAATGAAATCTTGTACACCTGGATTCATTGTCCGGGTTACTAGTTTGCGCCTTGTATGGCAAGTACTTTATGAATCTTCTTTGAATGAATTCTATCCCATTAATATATACGTTATACACAGAATCTACACCTGAGAAGCATACTCGAGTAAACTACGCACATAAGAACAGTACAGGACTTGATAGGTTTTACACTACTGAAATTGGCGGAGGACCTAATAATAAAACCGAGCATGTTTGATGCTTTATTTACATTATTGTCAATATGAGCTCCGAATAGGATTTTAGCATCATGCGTGATCCCTAGATCCCTGACATGATCAATCCCTATTAGCTGCAAACCTTTTAAGGTGTAATTAGATTTTAAAAGTGTATTAGATTTTATCTTTTTTAATAAGGTGTAGATGACACCTGTTATGAAAATTACCATAAGCCATAAACGTAATTAATGGGAGGTCAGGAGCGGCTGAGCCGTAACATCCCAGATTTGTTTAGTACCCAAGTCAGGATGCCAGCAGAACTTTTAACTATGCGCAAAGACATCTTTGAGAATACATAATGTGTACTTTAGGAAAGAAATACGCTAATGTTATTATCAAGCTTAAAAAAAATAAAACTAATTAATTATTATTAAAATAATAATTAATTAGTTTTATTTTTTTTTATTTTAGACCTTTTTATTTCCAAGATTATCGTGTTTTTATTTTCTAATTGGGTATTTAATTTTGATTTTGTACTTTTAATTTGATTTAATGCAATGGTATGTATAATACTCGATTAGGTTAATAATGATAATGAAGGCGAATTTGAATAATCGTATATAATAGTAAAAATAACCGTTAAATAACCAATGACGGTTAATATGGACATCACTACGTACGTCATTCTGACAACCCTAGATAAAGTGACAGTTTTGATAAACACTAAAAACAAAATGAAGTCATTCCAGACAATAGGTATTTAATATTTTATCTGAATGTCGTTCCGAATCTGATATAGCTTTTACAGATCTTCAGCCACGACTATTTCTTGCCTTTGTGCAAACAAAATTATTTAAATCGATATAATTTATTATATGACAATTCAATTCGAGAAACCGCGCCATAGACTTTTTTTTTTTTTTTTCATTTATTGTGACTTTGGCGAAAGCCATCAGCCAAAAAGTAACAATTACAAGGTAACAATATAAAATTACAAGACAAATTACAAAAAATATTATAGTTATAAATTAATTATAATATACTAAGAAAGTAAGTTAAGTAGAAAAGTATAGGTTACTATTACATATTTAAATTTCACCAATTGTTGAAGTAATATAATTAAAAATTTCTTGATACAAAATGGTATGTTTTAGTAGATCCTGCACTGAAGTAGGAATATTTTGACATTTTAATAAATCTTGACATTGACAAATAAAAAGTAACCGTTGAAGTGAGAATTTAGGACAAACAAAAAAATATGATCCAAATCAGAAAAAATGTTTTGGCAGTATTTACAGATAGAATTATCCAATAAATTAATTCGTTGCAAATGTGCAGGAAATTTACAATGACCTATCCGCAATCTACTTAATGTAGTATAATATTGTCTACCAAGAAAAACATTAGATTTTTCAAACCAATATTGTAACCAGACAATTTACAGATTTTGTTAGAATCAAACCAAGTTTCATTTAGTAAAATGATATCAAAATGTGATGTAAAGTTGTAAATAAAGTTTTTAAATTGAAATATTTTAGACAGAAAGCTTCTTGAGTTCCAATGAACAATATTAATTTCCTTTAAAGATGTAATGGTCATGTTGAAAAATTAGATATGAGTATTTCCTTAATTAATTTGGATGAAATTGTATCAGAATTAGTTTGAGCTTTCTTAACTAGCTCAATAACAGTCTTAGTAATTGTGTTGAGTACAATGTCTGAGTTAATGATGTCAGTAACTAATGCCCTTTTTTGAGGAGATTTATTTTGCGTTGAGCTGTTAATAGACACAGGGGTATTTGAATTAATTACAGAGTTAACCGATTTTGAAGTCACTGATGCATAAGATGTTTTGCCTAGAATTTTATTTTTGATTTGAGACAATTTCATCGATTTAGTGAGACAGCTATTAGATACTGCTACATGTTGTCCATTACAATTAACACATTTAAGATTCTCTTTGTTGATACAGGATCTATAATCATGGGCACCGGCACATGGAACAAACTTGCTTTCTTCTGCAGGAACTGCTTCCATGACCAAATTTGTAACAAGTGAAGCATTGGAGTAGAGGTCTAATGAATTCACGCACATCCAGCCAAATATGATCATACGTTACGTGATCAGGTCGCTGCGTAGAGAGGAAAGTTACTAAAACTGTAGGAAGAGGATGAAAACTTCCATCTTCTTTCTTTTTTTTGAAACGTTTAACACCGATGATATCTACAGTAGATTTTAAGTTATTTAAAAGATCTTCCTCAGATATTTCAGTAGGAGCTCTTATAACTCCCTGAGATTCCAGCTGATTATTGGGTATCCTAGCCTGAAGTTTATGTTTCTCTAATAAATCTTTATTTAATAAAAATTCGTTAGCCTGTTTCATTGATCGAAAACATATTTCTAATGCAGTAGGACCCATAGTACGAATATAGAATACACCAGGTACAGTTCTCAGAATAGAATTGACTTGCAATAAATTTACATTGTTGCCCTCAATAGGAGACAACAGGATAAAATATTCATTTTTAGTAGTGTCAGAATATAGGTAATTTTGATCTTTAAACAGTCCTCTTTTTGAGTGAGTAAATTTAATACTCATCTTAGCCTCTGGCTCTTCATCAGATATGGAAGTATTTTTTTTTCTTCTTTTTAACTTGCCTCCGCTTGACTCGCACATATCCTCTAACAACACACGAGGGCTTAAATTGGAGAAATAAGTAAAAGAAACTAGGAGAAGCAACAAATAAATATTAAACAAATAAAATTAATTTAAAATTTCCGCCCTCGCATTACAAGTTTTCCCGCCTTTTCATAGACTATATATTTTTTTATTATTTTTTTATTTTAGGAATTTAGGGACACATTCTTATAACATGAACATGCTCCAATGAGCGTGTGCTATAACTTTAGTACGTAAATCAGAAAAAAATATAGTAGGTTTTATATTAGGGACGTTTTTGTGAGAGTGATAAGTTATAGGTAAAGAGATAGATAGGTAATTAGGGACAAATTATAGTAAATGCATTTTTAGATGGCTAAGCGGTCTTATTCATTAAAGTTACGCATTACTACTATAATAAGACAATAATATAATAACAACGGAACGAGTGCAAGTAGTTCCTGACCGTCTACGGAACTCATTATTTTTATACAATCCACTCGATGAGTAAT